CTCCTTTCTAAAAGGCCGGCAACGCATCTGCAATTCCCCTGGTGTTGCAGTTGTTCATGGGCGGCGTTAATCACTTACCATCAGGTGAGCCGCATGCTCGTTTGCCCTCTCCTCTATAAAAAAAGACCCGTCAAAGATTTTAATAAGAACTGATTTACATTTAACTGTTCGTAATCGTCACTTACGGTTTCGAGAACGAAAAGTCTTATGTTTAGTAAAGTTTTTCTTTTTAATAGTCTTGTCAGGCTTATTCTCATTATCAGCCTTCCTGTAATTATTATTAGAATAATGTTTGTGTACCAAAATTGAATCAAGGGTACCAAAGCTTTCCGGCTAAACAACACTTCTTCACTAGGTGGCATTTTTTAAACTTTCTGATTTAAACAGCCTCGCGAATCATCCTTGAAAGGAAGCGGTGTTCTTTAGCGAGGATTTGTGATATATAAAATCTGATGTATTGACGGCGGCGATCCTGTGCGTCTTCACAGACTGCAGACTTCCCGGAGCGTCGATTCTTCTCATCAGCTATGTTTTGTTTAACGCGAGTTTTTATTGATTTTTTTGTTTGTCCTATGTAAGAGAAACCACATGCACAATCTAACTTGTACACTGCTGCATCTTGCTGAGGGACATTACACTTGACTGATAGTAAAGACTGCCTAATCTTCTTCGGTGGCTTGAAGTAAGTTTTAATGGAACCGCGCTTCAATGTGTAGCTAATCTTGTCAGTGACACCTCTGATATATGGCAGTACAGCAAGCTCACGCTTGACTGTGGCCGGCTTCGCTCGTTCACTTTGACGTAGGCGCGGGACCCGAAGCTTGTTGTCATGCAAAACTTGCTTGACGTGTTGGAGCTCGGCAGCCAGGTGCTTACTGTAACAGATCCCTCGTGCTGTCTGAAACAAAGATTTACCCACGGTAGCTAAGTGTGAGGGATGGTGGTGAGAATCACCGTTTAAATATTTATCTGATTTGGTTTTTTTTTTCTATACACAGTGTGGCTCAAGGTGTTATCAGGATTCCGAATTACTAACACATCTAGAAAAGCTAAAGAATTGTTTGCCTCTAGCTCCATTGTGATCTGAATTTTAGAATTTATTGAGTTACTTTGAATGAAAGAAAAATGCAGTTACTTTATAAAGGTAGAATTGTGAAAGTGTGCTCTACGTACCGCTCTTGGATTTATGGGAAAAGTAAGCAGGGCTTTCTCCTCAAAGTCTTCCATGAGTATGTCGGCGACAATAGGAGATACAGGTGAGCCAATTGCCACACCATCTTTTTGCTTGTAGAACTCTTCTTTCCGCAATAGATAGCCAGATGTTAGGCAATGTCTGAGTGATACTGCTTGTTCTACGGGCATGTGTTATTCTTTCAGCCTTCTAGTTACAATTGAGATCTAGTCTTCAAGACGTAAGCATGTGAACAGTGACTGCACATCAAAACTGACCATAGTTTTATTGTCTGCCAAATGTAGGTCTTTAATCTCGCTGACAAAATGGTAGGAATACTTTGTGTGCACTCTTGTTTATTTATTTATTTATTTATTTATTTATTATGACACATCAACAGCATAACACACAATACATTTATATGCAAATCTTACATAAAACAAAGGCCTGGTATGTACGCCAATAAAGACGTGTACAACATTCTCTTAAAATTAAGACATGTTATTATAAATACGAATATTAGAAAACAAAAAAAAGCACAAAAATAGTACACAGATTATCAAAATAATTTTACAAAATTTTAAGAACTTTTAAGAACCTACTTAGAGAGCAGGTACACAGATAACTTCTTTCTCAAACTAATGCATGAGTCATGAAAAATATCAATGTCAACAAATACACATACCCGGTTGTATTCGGCGCAAATTTTTGATATAGGCGAATTTTTTAAGAGGTTTGTTCTACTGGCAGGGATGTAAAAGATTTTAGTAATAGGATGGCGTGGATAGTTGCATGGGATGTTAAGATTAATGCACTGAAGTAGGTTATTACAATCTACGGCACCAGAAATTATTTTTTTTAAAAACAATATATTTAACAATACACGACGGTCACAATGTGACATCACTGCGAAATGTTTGAGACGAACGTTATAGGTGTTCCGGTGGGAAATGCCCAAAGAATGGAACGCAAGATGTCTAGTAAATGAACGCTGTATGCTTTCAATGCGTTGGGAATAAGTGATAAACTGAGGACCCCAAACCACCGATGCAAACTCTAGGTGACTTCGAACCAAGGCGTTATATAAAATTATTTTGGTTTTGGCTGACATAAAACCTTTAGCGTTTCGTTTTAGGAAGCCAAGCATTCTTCCAGCTTTTTGGACGGTAGCGTCAATGTGAGACTTAAAATTTAATTTGCTATCCACTATTACGCCTAAATCTCGAACTTCTTTAACCTGCTCCAAGGTATCAGAGTTCATCTTATAGGAGGACATGAAAGGTATAGACTTTCTTGAGAATTTAATGTGATATGATTTTTTAGTATTAAGTATCATACCATTTAATTGACACCATGTACTAATTCTGTTTAAATCACTTTGGATGAGTTGTACATCTACAATAGATTTTACTGTTTTGTATATTTTTAAATCGTCAGCAAAGAGACAGAATTCAGAGTTGCGTATTTCAAAAGTTATATCATTGATAAAGGCAGCAAAAAAGGACTGGACCCAGATGCGATCCTTGCGGAACGCCTGAGAACGCTATATAACTTTCTGATTTGTAACCATTCACTACCACAAACTGAAGTCTTTTTGCTAAATAAGACTGGAACCATTCTAGCAAAGATCCACATACCCCATATCTTTTTAGCTTGTTAATTAAGCGCGAGTGACAGACTTTATCGAATGCACTAGAAAAATCCATATATATAGCATCAACTTCCTGTCCTTTGTCAATTTCTTTACAGAGATACGACATAAATGATACAAGGTTAGTTTCAATCGAATGGCCCTTCCTAAACCCATGTTGATGGTCTGATATACATGTGCTTAAGTGACGCGTAATAATTGGACATATCAAGGATTCAAACAATTTAGGAATACATGAAATAATTGAAATCGGTCTGTAGTTACTAACGTCATTAATGACGCCTTTTTTTAAATACCGGAACGATCTTTGAATTTTTCCAAATATCAGGAAATACTCCATCACGCAAAGATTGATTGAAAATAATAGCTAGTGGTAACGCTAAGGCCGAGATACAACGTTTGACGAACACAGGGGGAATCTCATCTGGGCCAGCTCCCTTGAAAATGTCAAGCTTTTTGACTGCACCTATAATGTCTCTTTCAGTTAATTTTACAGAATTTAAACATGAATTATTGAACATAGATACGTCACCGCCGTCGTTTGCAACCACTTTACTAAAAACAGATGAAAATTTGTTTGCAAACATTTGGGCAATATCTGGTCCGGTGTTTACGACCTGATCAGCTTGATACATTATAGCTGGGATATTGGATACACCATTGCGCCTGTCCTTCACAAAACGCCAAAAGCTTTTTGGATTTTTAGAAATATCGCTTTCAATTCTTTTTTTTAAAATTAAAAAGGCATTGACTACTTACATTATGAGCACGTTCGCGAAGAAGCTCGTATTCTAGTTGATCACGAGGGTTCTTATATTTCAAATATTTTAATCTTTTTCTGCTTTTCTCGGAAATTATTTTAATTAGGGAATTGCTAAACCACGAAGGAAATTTAGTTAGTTTAGGTCTTGTTTTAGGAATATAGGATGTTACGGCTATATTTAAAATGTGGTAAAATATATTAGTCATTTCGTTAACATTTTGACATTTTTCTAGCTCCACTTGCCAGTTAATGCTCTTCAAGTAAGGTACAATATTGCCATAGTCTGCTCTAAAGTAGTTGTAACGATAGCTTATTATCGGCTTGAGGTACTCGGAAGTAAGTTTTGGGACCGATATCAAAATTGGAGGATGTTTTTGATCTACTTTGCTAAGCATACTTATAGATTTAGTAACATTTAAACAATCAACATTGGATAGAACTAGATCTAGTATTCTACCATCAACATTAGACACATCGTTCATTTGCGATAAATTATTGACAGCCATAAAGTCAATAAGAGAGAGTCCTAGTTTCGAACCATAATTTGTTGCAATACATGGGTCACTATCCGACTTACGGGACCAATCAATAAAACCTAAGTTAAAGTCGCCCAATATTATGACTTTATCTGATATATCTATGATATCAGTAGAGTTTTCTAAAAAGCTAGATAAAGTTTCAGAAGAAACAGGAGGAGGTAAGTAAACGGCACAGATAGAAATTTTTTGGAGTGTGTCGTTAGTTTTAACATCAATAGATACCCATAAATCTTCTGCATTACTTTCCCAATTTGATTTTCGAGAAGAAGGAATATTTTTAGACACTGCAACCATCACACCTCCTCCGTCTTTCTTTGAACTCCTTGAGCATGATCTATCTTTTCTATATACAACGTAACGTTTATCTATAAATTCACTGTTCATTATATTACTATTCAACCATGTTTCAGTAAATACAATTAAGCTATAATTATTCGTAAGTATATTTTTAAGAACATCCTCCGTTTTAGTCCTCAAACCTCGTACGTTTTGATAGTAAATTGTTACAGACATTTTGAACTCTTGTTTGTCCTCTGAGCGATGAGAGTATTTTCGCGAAGTGTTGAGCCAATCTGTAAGTTGGTGAATCGGTTTGGCTCACTATGGGACGTAGTGGAGCATTGGTTTTGTGTATTTTTGGTAACCCATACAACTTCGATTGTTTGGCACATGTAGGTATTATCGATTTTGCGTCTAGATTTAACTTTACGCAGTATTTCTTTATGAGGTCACTAGTTGTTTTAAGTATATTTTTTGGGTCATTTTTAACCATTTTATAAGTGCTGACATGCGACAAAAGTTCTTGTATTTTAGAGTTGTAATCGGACGTATCCATGACTAACGTGGCATCAGTACATTTTGCGCGTGGTGTCGCAGGACGAGGAGTTGGACTGCGTGCTGGAGCTGTTCGAACCGACGCTGCAGCGCTGGGAGCCACATACATACTTCCGCCTGCCCACCAACGAGCCTCGGGAGATAAAACTCGACGTAGCACCTCCAGGTACACTTACGTCGTTTTCATTGTCCGATAAGGGCATTAGGGCTTCATTGCCGTTATTTATAACCTCATGTTATTTGTAGCACCGCGGGGCTTAAGATAATCTTCTACCGCAAGTCATCACATAGATGTCACAAGAGGCGGCGGAGGGGAATGGAAACAAGATGAGCTGCCGCATTCTCGATAACTATTTTTTTATAATAAAAACTATGGTTACAATGTGTGGGGGAGGCCTACGTTCAGCAGTAGATTATTGATATAATTATTTCTTATAATCACACGAATATTGGACATGTTTTATAACACCCATGGTGTTTGGATAGTCCCAACAGTGACGTCGAATTGAACGCGAAAAAATCCGTAAACTTAGTTTTATTCGAGACTAGTGATCCACCCCGGCTTCGCACAGGCAACCTGCCTCCGGGTCTAAATGTGAATCTATACCATCTAGGGTCTCATTCAAATACACACAAAAAAGTTTATAAAAATCGATCGAGCCGTTTTTTAGTTTTAGCAAGATTAACGGACAACAATCGATTTTTGTATATAGAGATTTTTGATAGGCGAATTAATGAATATTTTAGGGGAAGAAAAATTTGTTTAATATAACTTACATACTAAAGTGTTTTATAAGTATCTTTCCCTATTCCTTTAGCAAATTATATGGTGACTTTAGGTCATAGACATTTTAATGAGAAGGAAGTTTTATTGTTCATTATTCATCTTCAATTGAGTTTGCACAATAATATGTACGTATTCTTCGAGAACACATTCCTCTCCCAATTGAGTTACCTTAACCCACTGCAATTTTAGATGTTACCGAACATCTCCGTTCAACAAGAGCACGGTGAAAATAATTAACTTATGGCAAGATTTTTAGTTTTCATGTTCGTATTTTTATTTTTTATAAAATATGGGCGATAAAAGAGCACACGCTACATCTAATGGTAAGTGGTTGCTGTGGGCCATAGACATCTACATCTATCCTCGATTATGAATGAAAATGCAGAGTCACCCGCAAGGACAAAAATGGAATGCCTCATTTCTTACTGGAAAGAAGAGATGTTTCTTCGAGTCTCACCATACGTAACACAACAGCGTTAAGTTGCTATTTCTCGCTCTTATTCTGTGAGAGCGTAGTCATTCCGAGAGCCGACCCATTTGTGCTACAACCATAATATAGCTGCAGCATGGCTTTACCACATGTAGCGTTAAAGTGTGATTAAGGAAGTTTAATTTTTTTTATAGAATAAGGGTAACAAGCAAGCACACATGCCACCTGATGGTAAGTGGATGCTGTGGGCCATAGACATCTACATTTATCCTCGATTAAGAATAAAAACGCAGATACGTTGTCCCCTGGGGACTAAGATGGAATGCCTCGTTTCCAGTAAAGAAGGCTCTCCGGATCTCTACACTCACCATACGAAACCCAGCTGTATTAAGCTGCTATTTTACAACCCAGCTGTATTAAGCTGCTATTTTACACTGGTATTCTGCGAGAGCGTGGTCCTTCCCTAGTCGAGTCAACCCATTCGTACTACAACCATAATATAGCTGCAGCGTGGCTCTTCCACTAAAAAATCGAAGAATTCGAGAATTAATTATCGAAGTCCGGTTTTTTTAAAAATATCCTTTCCCATGGGTAACCTTTCTTTATGAAAATTAGCAAACTATACCATTATTTTAGGCAAAAAAAGAATCCAGGAATTACAAAGTCTGTGATTTAAAAAAAAATAAACGCTATGTCAAGTATTGCCGTTTAAGACCCTAAAAGTGGGTGAAATGCTTAAATTTCAGGATATTTAAGTAAAAAAAATCACAATAACTTAATCCACAAAGAGAAAATATAAGATGAGAGATGAGGATTCGATAAACGTTTTTAATTGAATAAAATTATATTTTTGTCAGCCTCTTATTACAAACATTAAAATCCCCAAGGAGTACATATTCACAACATTTATATTCAAAATATAACAAAAATATGTACTTTTTTGTTATATTTTGAAAAATTTCTCCAAAACGGCGCAAGGTCTTTAAATAGTTTTTAAACTAATAAAAGACTTAAAATATGAATATTTTCAAATAAGTTTTATTTTTATTCCCCATTTTACTCCTGAAAATATAATTTTTCTCAAAAAAGTTACCAAAGAAGGAATTTTCACGTTGATTAGTGAAATTGAAAAATGCCTTTTTATAATATATAAATAAGCCAAATGTGATTGATGGCCACGTAAGGAATCTGAAGATCGCTCAGCGAGCTATGGAGAGGGCTGTGCTCGGGGTTTCTTCGCGTGATAGACTTTAACATGAGCATATCCGGAGTAAAACTAAAGTAACCGACATATACCAACGGCTTAGTACACTGTCACTGAAGTGGTTATGGCTAGCCATATAGATCGAAAGACCGACAATCAAGACAATCAAACCGAAGAAAGGTTCTTGTGTGGCAACCTCGTGCCAGTAAGCAAAGAGCTGGGCACCCCCCACCCCCCCGCCACTACTACACAGGGACGACATGAAAAGATATGCAGAAAGTCGATAGATGCAGGTATAATAGCTTAGGACCGTGCTTTGTGGCATTTTTTGGGGAAGGCCTATGTCCCGTAGGCTTGTGAAGGACTGTATCATAAATGTATTGTAAAATGATGATGAAGCCAAATGTGTTCTTCACAAAAAGCGACAAACATAGACATCTACAGGACTTAGCTGGCGAGAGAATGAGATAGAATTATAATATAGATATTAAATTAATCGTGTTGAGGTTACGTGGAGAGTCCATCAATTTTTGTTCGATAAAATGACTGTAACTATAGAATGAAATAGATATTGCAAAGTGATTCATTACACTAACATTTAGGCTCTACTATCTAAAAATAAGGATTGTAAAATTTATTTGCTTTAAAATTAAACTTTTATTGTCATTGAATGTTATCATATTAAATAAATCATTAGATTAAAATGTAAAATATTTTTTACTTGGTAACTATATTATAATAAATAAACTCTGCAATTATCCTACCCCTGATACTCTACATTCATCTCATTCTCTCTAATTTGAGTTATCTGGATGTTTCACCCCTACCGCGTGTCATGTGCACGTTTTTATTTTATTATCATCGTTTCGCCATACGTTTTACCAAATTTTAAAATAAATTGTATTCCATAAAAAGGGCTCACGAAACGTATATAGGTAAAATGTGTGTTTTGCATACAGACGTAGCGTTCGCAACGATGTGGCGCGTGCGTATATGTGACGCGCATGAGCCAGAGCCACCGCCCTTTATGTTTAAAACGGACAGGTTTCTCGGCAGCTACGACCCGCCGGTGAGTACAATATTATTATCTATAATGGTTCAATAATTTTTCAAAACTGGTTCTCCTGCTTCTCTATCAGATCCAGATGTAAAAGTCCAGTGCTGAATATAAAATGAAATGAAATGACATCACTGACTTCTATATATACAATTACGAATGACTTTTATTTGCAGAAATATGGTTGGTGAAAACTTGTTTCACATCTTGATAGTTCACAGATTTTGGAAACAGTCTATTTTGTTGTGCGTATTTGCTTCGCGCTTCTCTTCGAATCGCAGAGCCAGACACCTCGCACCTTTGCGCTGCTGTCTTTCCACGATCTGAGCATTTTACATTTGGCATCTTACGATACTTACTAGATGGAATGTGGTAACGAATTATCTTAGCCATCACCACACGGAAAATATTATAGATAGACTTTTAATTTCCTCCTATGAAAATACATGATTTTCAAAAAATCTTGAGTTAGCGGTTTCACCCCAGTTTTCGAAAATAAAGCGTGCGTGTGTGCATGCGTGCGTACGTGCATGCGTGCGTACGTGCATGCGTGCGTACGTGCATGCGTGCGTACGTGTGTGTGTGTGTGTGTGTGTGTGTGTGTGTGTGTGTGTGTGTGTGTGTGTGTGTGGGCGCGCGTGTGCGTGCGTGTGCGTATGTGTGCGTGCGTTTGCGTGCGTTTGCGTGCGTTTGCGTGCGTGTGCGTGCGTGTGTGTGCGTGTACGCGTGTGTGTGTGTGTGTGTGTGTGTATGTGTGTGTACGTTCGTGCGCGTGTAAAACGTTTTTGAAACAACTTTTAAGCAGATGTAATGATCAATTCTCTTAAAACACCGGTTATTGCTGAAAACCACACCAAAATCGGTTGATGCGTTTAAGAGAAGTCGTTAACGAAAAATATTATACGTTTATGAGTTCTAAGAGCTCAATAGATGGAATTTGCTACAAATTCCACCTGGAGCTTTGCATTTGTAATTAGCGGGAAGTCCATAGATGGCCTGTAGGGTCAACCGCATTTTTATTGTTATATTTATATTAATGGATTGAATTTAAAATTTTACTATTATGTAACATTTGTTGTAACATGGCCAAGTTAGTATATACAAAGAATTGAACAGCTTCACATTTTCAAAATCTTCATCTGTACCTTAAACTGTGTATGTTCACTAGAAATAAACTCCAAATATATGATAAATGTAGTGTATGTAATGTTCCTGTAACATATTGTGTACATTGTATTGTGGTGTTATGTCGCAGGCGGGCGAGCCCGAGCGAGCGGCGAGTGTGGGGAGTACGGGGGGTGCGGGCGCTGGTATGAACGTGACTGCGGAGCAAGTGTGGGGCGCGCTACGAGTGGACTCGTACTTCGCGCCGCGGCTGCTGTCTGCCGCACAGCTGGCACTGAGAGTCGCCGCACTGCGTCTCTACCTGCACCTTGACCCGCCACCACCGCCACTCACGCATAGGTACCCACCATTCCCTCTACTGCTCACACTACCAACCTTATAGGACAAAACTCATCAGAATTCCCGGCACATGAGAATGGGAGCATCCACTCACTATTGGGTGAACAGTGTTCTCGTTTGTCATATTTATCCTGTTCTATATAAAAAAAAAAACCATTTATTTAAAATCGAGGACAGTTGGTTTACGGGTCTGCAATGAAATTTTGTAAACCTGGTATTAATCACTGAAACTGCACAGCTTTATGAATAGTTTGCAGTGTAAAATAATATATTCATGTAAAAAAGATGTCCGCTTATAATGGATACAGATACATTTGAACAATACAAGACAGTCAAGAGTCAAAACAAATGTAGAATACGTTTACACCTCTTAGTACTAAAATGGAATGCCTCGTTTCCATTAAAAAATGTATCCGCATTCAGGTGCTATTTTACACTGACATTGTATGAGAGAGAGGTCCTTCCCCGTTCGAGCCGAGCCATTCGCCCTACAACGATAATATAGCTGCAGCGTGGCTCTAATATTTATCCGTTACCGTTACTGTTACAGCCTACTAAAGTCAACAGCTTAACATATGCCTCCACCATAGATTACCTTATAGTGAGGATGTTTTCCAGAGTTGCCACGTTTGCCAAGTGGATGGGCGACCGCAACTTTTTTTTAATTATAAACGTTATTAGGAAGACTACTGCTCATCTCCTAATTTGTTCCCCTCTGTCGCTTCTTACAACACCCACGGGATAATATGGGCTAGTGGATATTCCTACACCGTCACTACATGCTCTACCACGTATGATTTCATTAATGTCATTTGATTGAATGCATAAAGAGGTGATGTGTTTTATTTGTCGCAGTTGTTCGAGTGTTCTAGAGGGCTACTACGTATCGCGACCGCTGCGACGTGGGCACCGCGCACTTTTGTTAGCGGCGCGCGACGCGCACGTGCACGTACTCGCGGCGCCACTCGCCGACCCGCCGGACGCACGCCGATGTCTTCTACGCGCGCGTCTCTCGTCAGTACCGCTTAATATAACTCTTTATAAAAAAACTCTCCAGGACTCGAAATAAATAATTTTTTGTCCGACTGCCTCACAAGGAGTGGGAGAAGAATATTTTTCGAAAGTATGTTTGTATGTCTTTTTCTTTGGCTCTGTAACCTAAAGGGCTTAATGAATTGTAACACGTGAGCTGCCGATAGATTCTTCTTAATTGTGGGAGTGACTAGCCTGTGTAATATTTATATATTGCATCTACAAATTCAAAAAAGGGTGGGGACGGTTTTTAACTTCCCGGAAAAAATCGGGAAGTTATTGGTTTCATCCCAGTTTTCTAAAACCGAGTTTTCGTCAGATTTCTACGTTTTAGGTCCTTGAAAGCTATTCTGTCTATTCCTACAAGGATCTCACTATGTCTGTGTGTGTGTGCGTGCGTGCGTATGTGTATGTAAACCTCTAATAACTTTTAAACGGTTTGACATATTTGCAAGAGTTTGGTAGCGTTCGAAAGGGTTTAACTAAACTTAGATTGTCAATACAGTTTCAACCGATTTAGACCTGTAGATTTATGAGATCTTAAAAAAAATGTTTCTTGAGAATTACTTTCAAACAGATGTAACGATCAATCCCAAAATCTAATCAGCTCTCAAACATGGAAAACGACATCAATAGCTGCAAACCGCTTCAAAATCGGTTAAAGCGTTGAAGAGAAATCGGTGACGAAAAATTTCGAAAAAAGTGTTTTTTTCTTCACATGACATGAATTTATAGCCTAGTCGATTTTTTGTAATTATAGGTGTTATTATTGTTCTTAAAACACTTCGTGGATTTTCACCAATTAAATCCAAATCGGTTTATCCGTTCTGAAGTTATCGATGTCAAAAAATTAAAGAAAAGTGTTTTTTTTTAACTTGAAATTTCTGTTCGAATCGTTTTATGTAATGAGCTAGCTATTAGTTCGTAAAAATATTTTTAGAGCGTTGTGAGATCGAACGTAGCGGGAAGTTTCAGGGATGGCCTGCATGGTCACCTGTTTTTCGGATTGTTTTCGGTAATTTTTAACGTAGTTAGTTTTTTATTTTCTTTATTGTTTTAAGGACTAAGCTTTTATTTTAGAAAATATTCAAATAACGCTTTGCATAGTTATTTTTCGATCACATGCACCCTGTAATTGTGTTGATGATACCAGCATTAATAGTTCCTACATCAGATATATCTATAATTTGTTACATTCATGATGTCTTTTAACTTGGTCCATTAACATTAACCTCATTAAGGTGCGTTTTTAGTATTTAAAAATTTAAAAATAATATATATTATGATTATTTGACCGTAAAACATATGTACATTACATTCTTAATATTTCATATAGTTCAAACTACACGCTATATACGTCCGCTCGCTAGGCGCAACATTATTTTCTAAAATAGTTACGGAGCAATAAAGTTTTCACAATTTTTCGGCCACTAGAGCGTTGCTACTTTGGAACGGGGTAATATTTGTTTAGTACACTAGAGTATTGTGTATAGTATACAGAATGGGTCCCACATATATGCAATAAATGAAACCATATACTTGTTATCGCCTTTGCTGACGATATACAAAAAATGAACGTAATCGGTCCAGTAATTAGGTCAAAAAGTAGAGTTTTAATTTTAAGCAAATTTGAACACTCTATAGAATTGGGTCACTAAGTCAATGATTCAATGAACTTGAATCCTTGAACATTAAAAAAGCGACGTTGCCACGCAGTGCAAACTATTGGTATTGCGACATATCGACAGCGGTGTCTTTTGTCGGCGTGCCACCCGCGTGCAATGTCGTCACTCTTCCAAGGGGTCAAGGTACGTTGTCTAAACAGAGTGTTCACTTTTACTGAATTTATTTTAATATTTATTTTGTTTAAAAATTTCACTTTTTTATTTTACGGGTTTTAATTTAATATTTAATTTTTCTTCACTTCTACGGACTAGTATTACTTGTGGTTTCATTTATTGCATATATGTGGGATCCATTCTGTATAGTGAAAAAAAAATTGTATTTTAATAGCGGGGAAATTAAATTATTAAAAAATTATGAGGAATTATAGGTTTTTTATTTCATATTAATCAGATTAGAAATAGTTATTTCAAACGACAGAAGGTAAGAAATACAAGATATAATAAAGAGCAATGTGCAAAAATACAGAACACGCGACTGAGTCGTTGCTGTCTGTATAAATACACTAGAAAAACAGATATTAAACGTAACGAATGTTGGTTAGCTACTACTTAGTATAGAAATATTTAATTTGTCTTAAAAATTTCAATAAGTAAAGTATAGACATTACATCCATCTATCTATACATAACACATTTCACCAAGCTTTCATTGTACCATTTAATTTGTTTAACAGGAGCGACATAATAGACTGCGCGACCGGTACCATGGAACCTTTGGTGGAAGAGTTTTATGTGCAAGGTGCGTGGTCGCGTGGCGCGAGGCGGGAGGGGCGGTTGCGCGCGTGCGCGTCCGTGCTGCGCGTGACGCTGCACGTGCCGCGCGTGCGCACACTGCACGCGCTTGCAGATGACTGGCTACACGCCTACCAGAGGGTAATGTACAACGTTTAGGCTATTTACTTTATTATTCAATTGATAGTTATGATGGACTCCTTAAATAACACCGCTGACGGGCGTCCGGAGATCTAATATTCATTAAGCAGCTTGACCGACCGACTCCTTTCGAGGCTGCTGCCCTATTCCGTGTACTGCTCCGGTCCGGGACGCAGTTTGCGACACATACAGCTTGTTTAATAGTTAAGTTACTTTATAGTATTGTAGTATAAATATAGGTATTAAGACGATAGTACCTAAGATTGAATGGCGTATAAAATAAGCACGTGTATTAGTACTTTAGTAGTTTATTACCCCACTGAATTTAATTTGAAAGTAGTGCATTATAAGTACGTATATAATTCGCGGCACGAACAACCGTGTAATAGCGGTGTAAGAATATCCATTACCCCATAGCATCCCGTGGCTGTCGCACTAGACGGCAGAGGGAAGAGCTGCAGCCGCATCCTAATAACGACCGAAAATATAAACTGCGCTCTCTTACCCGCATGGCACATACCTCCCATGAGACAATCTATGGGGAAGGCCTTTGTTCACCAGTGGACTTTAATAGGCTATAATTCTAATGGTTTAAGGAAATAATGCTATTATGTAATTAAGCTTAGTGCTATTTCAAAGGGCCCTATTTTTTCTTGTGAGAGCTACATCGAGCGATTATTTACCATAATTGTTACGCTCGGTAAAAATACAATTACAGCGCTCGTAGAAATAAATATTTCAAATATTTGAATCGCTAACTGCAAAAAGGGCACATGGTGAAAATGTTGTTAATTTTTTTTCGAACGTATTTTATCGTTATACATCATTTCTGCAAAATAGACACATGAGCAGCTAACCAGTATCGAGGTATTAAACGCAGAGTAAGGTAGTTTGTTACATAAATGGTATGGTCGCAAGCATGACCCCTTATTACAAAATTTTGGTATGGTCATGCTGATTTAGTTGTCAATCACACGTCAGTCATTACAACTGTCATTTTCATTATGCAAGTCGAGTTGAGTGTTTTTTAACGTGTTAAATTATAAGATTTTGTATATTAAAATTCATAAAATGGACGAAAATAGCCGTAAAAGAAGAAAAACCTTTTCCGACCACGAAAATTACAAAAGAAATATCATAAAGAAGGCAATAATTTTGGGTGAAAATCACATAAATTGCCGGCCGGCAAACACGTACCCGCCAAAAATGATCCTGATTTTATCAACAAAACTGGTATTTATATCCTTATGATATGATATTCTTGTGAATATGATATGATAAATTGTATTATAATTAAATCTTTTATTTCCAGTCGCAAAAGCAAATGTTTAAAAAAAATAAATACTCCTCCGGCTTAAATTAAAAGATGAATATGAACATTTACAAAGAATGATAGAAATTGCACCAATTTCAAGATCACGAGCACGTGCTAATACACTGGAATACGACCGGAAGCCAAGATCAAAGAATTTCAAATATTACTTTTAATATACGGCGCAATACGAATTCATGTTTGTAAAAAAGCATTTATTAATGCTCACAACATCACTAGCAAAAGGGTGAGAAGAATTCCGAATTTATTAGAAAAGAATGTTGTGTCTGTAGATGGTCGAGGAAAGAAAAGCAGTATTAATGCAATGCACCCTGACAACATACAAAGATTAGATGAGCGTATCAAATCATTTCCAGTTCGCAAATCCAACTACACTATGCGATCATACTTTTATCTGAGAGCTAATTTAAATATTAAAAAAATGTACAGATGTCTTATCAAAAAGTACCTTGATCTGAAAGACAAAGTTCTATACATATTCTATTGGCTATATTTCAGAAGAAATTTCTCTTTAACATTTGGAAGACCTGCAAAAGATACTTGTTCAAAGTGTGAAGAGTTAAATGCAAAAATTAAAAGTGATTATTTGAATGAAGTGGCCAAACGAGTTTCGGTCGCAGAATTTTTAGTTTATAAAAAGAAGTAAAAAATTCTATTCCGCTGTGGATAACAAACTAACAATTCCAAACTAGCCTGGCAAAATAAAATTTTGATTTGATTTTATGGCTGTGTTAGACTTACCGAAGATTGCTTACGTGTTGACTTACCTGAAGCTTGGTGTGAACACCTTTAGTATTTATAATACAGGAAATGACAAGGTGACTTGCTATGTCTTTCATGAAGGAATGGCAAGGAAAAGGCCTGATGATGTCTCTTCATTTCTGTTACATTACTTAAAGAATTTTTAGACCCTGAGGTAGAAGAGGTACACCTTTTTTGTAACAATTGTTGGGGCTAAAATAAAAACCACGCCCTTATAAGAATGCTGATGAGTTTGACAGAACTAGGTTCATTTAAAAAAATTAAGCTACATTTTCTTCAACCTGGCCACTAACTTTTTCCTTGTGACCGTGCATTTAGTCTCATTAAAAGAAAATTGAAATAATTTGACAGACTATACAGTAGATGAGTATGTGCAACAAATAATAATGAAGTCTTCCAATATTAAAGATAAATTTGCTGTGTTTTTGGCAGATTCTTCAATTATCAATGATGTCCAAAATTTTACACTAAATTTTATTATTAAAATAAAAAATCTGAACCTCGAGGTAACTCAGCCTCAATTCTTTCACGATATCAAATTACCACTAATATGAATTTAATGACAAGGGACCAAAAGTGGTTAAAACTAAAGAATTTATTGGTGGCCTAGTATCTGATTATTTTCATTTGAGAAAACCTACCACAATTCCAGTGAGTTTGCCTTCAGAAAAACTTTATCATAATAAAAGACCTCTACTGGAATGGGAAATGGAAGATTTAAAAAATCTTAAAGTTTACATTTATACGTGGTAAAGCCATGCTAATTTTAACAAATTTATTGGGAAAGTAGTAAATAAAAAGTACTCTTTAGTTTAAAAATATGTAATAGAATTCTTAAAAAATAAACAGTTACACCAAAAATAACATTTTCTCCTGTTAATCACTATAAAGGTATCAATTAATCAACATTGCAATAATCAGTACTTAAGAAATCAAAAAAAAAAATAAATAAACAGTTGCATCAAAAATAGGTAATAAAACTTCTCTTCTTTATCACCATAAAAGTATCAACTAATCAACATAAGGTACAAGTTTCATTTAAAGTCGTTTTAACAACTTTTTTTTGCCATTCCTCAGATGTCAATACAAACGAAACTCGTTCTGTATTTCTCACCCCTTTCCTGACCGGAGTTTTTGCTAAAACTAAAGTGTCTTTTAGATTAATTTTTTTCATTGATCTTATTATTTTGTCACTTAAATTAGTTGGCATGATCTTTGGTGGAGAATTTGCAAGTGTAGTAATATTTTGTACTGAGCAATCAGTAAAAACATCGATATTTTCTAATAAATCTTCATTGTTAATATGTGAGACTTCTTTTCTTTTAGGGGTAAGTTGTAAAAATGTATTTGAAATTACAGGTGGAGTATGAATTTCTACTTCATGTGGAACTTCAAAGCAAGATAGCCTTTCTTTTGAATCATTCCAATCTTCCTCAGAATCACATAAAATTACAGGAAGATTAGCAATATCGAAATTGGTATTTGGTTCCTCATAAAAGTTGTCTTCAGATTCAATGGATGTAACACCTTTTAATATGCATGCAGTAGTTTTGTTATTGGGAGTCTCAGATGTAGTAGACTTAAGAAGGGATGGTGAAACTTCAAAAAAATTAAAAACTTGGTTCAAAATTCTGTCTTTTTCATACTTACATTCTTTAATTATATCGAGGAATCGATTTTATTGTAACACTACATCTTTATTATTGCTTATGCTTTTTACTCGTTTACCAAGACATTTGTCAAAGTTTATACTATCAGGATTCCACGGGAAAAGTCCAGCAGCCCTAAAACCATTTTGCAATATTTCCGGATGAATAGAACTATTAATGGCTTTTTCTAAAATCGGTGCGAATTCCAATTTTGTTAGAGCTTTTGATTGATTTGGATTGTTTCTTCTCCACTCCATCACACTTTTTTTTCCAACCAACATCTGCGGGCTGCAAAATTCTTGTGGCATTTGGATAAAGAGCGATAAGTATGATTTTTAATTCTGTACAAAGTTCACTGACACTTAGTGTTACGTGTGTTTTATGTCCGTCAACAAACAGGATGACAGGAAATTTTGTTGCTGTTCGCGTAAGGTATGGATGTAAAACATTCCTAATATAATCTACAAAAATGTCTGTTTTCATCCAACCGTTATCACTGAGGCCAATACCCCAATCTTTAGGCACTTTTGTAGCAAGTTCTTTAGGTAGTCTGTTATTTGGGTAAATTACTAATGGTGGAGTTCGTTCTCCATTTGCTTTAAAGGTAAATAAAACAGTTAAGGATGCCTTGGCTTGACCTCTATCAACTTCATAGACATTTTTATGTACTTTTATGGAAAGAACTCTCCCACTTTTTTGGGCACAGTTGGAAGTTTGTCTTGTCACCATTTAAAATGAGCTATGGGTCCTGGAGAATGTCAGTATAATTATTCATTTTTAAATAAGAATATATATCACGAAACCAGCGTCTTATATCTTCTTCAGATACGCAAGAACTTGCACCAGTGACACTTTCTGGGGTTCTAATAGCCAAATCCTTATGTCTTTTCATAAAAAGATTATACCATCTTTCCCCTGGAACGCCATTCTTAAACGGATTCGGTCTATTGGCCTTTTTTAAGAATTCAGCTACACTTGTAATCAGGTCCTCTTTTCGTCTTGGAAAGCCTTTTCTGCTATTAACTTTGATCCAATTTACTAAATCTTCTTCCTCTTTTACTGTCAGGACAGTAGGTGGTCCTGGTCTCTCATTTTTGTCTGGATGATTGGTATGAAAAATAAGTGTAGTCCTAGGGACACCATACGTTTTTGAAACCAATTTCTTGGACATCCCTTTATTTATTGCTTCTAATGCTAATTTTATATTTTCTGAAGAGTATTGCTTTCTTTTCTTTGGAGATATTTACTTTTTATTAATCTTATTTAGAGAACTTTTGCGTTTCTCTAAACCAGGATTTGTTTTGTAGTTGGGCATACTGTAAATTACGGAATGATAATTAATATTATTTTAATTATTTTTAAGCTAATACCTAACCTTAAATAATTTTTAGTTATTGTTAAAATACTTGATTGAAATTAATCGTTACAAATTGTAGTAAAAAACTTATTATTGACATATTTATTTCCTATTATTGACATGGTGTCGATAATACGATATTAAGCTATTGACACTGTGTCAAAAAATTGAAAAGCTAAGCCAGACGTTTTTTAATTTATACTCAAAATGATCCCTGTCGTTAAAACAAGTATTTTTTGTATAAAATTCCTATCAAATTAAATAATAATACGAATCCAAACATTGACATACTGTGTCAATAATAGGTAGTGAGGTCTATTTAGCTATCAATTATCGACACCCCTATTTTAATTTCACAATTTTTTAATTACCGAAAAAGTGAGGTTATAGAAATGTTAATCGATTGTTCATCAATTTACAAAATATAAACATCAATATATATGTAAATATCAAAGACGAAAAATTATACTATATTGTATGCACTTACCCTTCTGATTTTCCAACAAAATGGCGACTTTTTCTTATGAACACGGAGACTTTTGGTAAATTGAATAGTTTTGTTCAGCCATGCTTTTTAAAGAACTCAAACTGTATTGCCATAACAAAAAATATAAATACAGATGCGTTTACTTTAAACACCTTTGCTCCTATATTGAACGTGAATCTTATAATTTTAATTTATCTGTAGAAGTGTCAATAATTGGCAGAGTGTCAAGATTAGGGCAGTTTACCCTATAACACTTTCGGAAATGAACTTTATGAATGGCCAACTGAAAATCGTACCGAAAGGGATAGTAGAATGCGTAATTAATCTATATACCCATGTAAACTCGCAGTTGATTTTAAACAGCGATGTATGCTTAGAAAATAAACATTATTTGAAATATTACTTGTTTAATTTTTCTATTAATTTTTTATGAAAAAATAAATTTCACTGCATAAAGGACTCATGTCCTATGTTAATAGCAAAAAGGGCACATGTCCACGTTTTTTTTTGACAATTTACTAATTAACTAAATTTATTTAAAAAGAAAACTATGTTTTCTCTTAGCAAATATCAATATAAATGACCCTAAAAATAAAAATAAATGTTTTATTTTGATTAATTCAAAAATAAGTCAGTTTTTTGTCTCTTCTGAACATTTTATTTAAATAAAAATGGACATTTTGGCTTCTCAGCACGCGAAAAATGATTTATGAACACGGAGACGTTTGGTAAATTGAATAGTTTTGTTCAGCCATGCTTTTTAAAGAACTCAAACTGTATTGCCATAACAAAAAATATAAATACAGATGCGTTTACTTTAAACACCTTTGCTCCTATATTGAACGTGAATCTTATAATTTTAATTTATCTGTAGAAGTGTCAATAATTGGCAGAGTGTCAAGATTAGGGCAGTTTACCCTATAACACTTTCGGAAATGAACTTTATAAATGGCCAATTGAAAATCGTACCGAAAGGGATAGTAGAATGCGTAATTAATCTATATACCCATGTAAACTCGCAGTTGATTTTAAACAGCGATGTATGCTTAGAAAATAAACATTATTTGAAATATTACTTGTTTAATTTTTCTATTAATTTTTTATGAAAAAATAAATTTCACTGCATAAAGGACTCATGTCCTATGTTAATAGCAAAAAAGGGCACATGTCCACGTTTTCTTTTGACAATTTACTAATTAACTAAATTTATTTAGAAAGAAAACTATGTTTTCTCTTAGCAAATATCAATATAAATGACCCTAAAAATAAAAATAAATGTTTTATTTTGATTAATTCAAAAATAAGTCAGTTTTTTGTCTCTTCTGAACATTTTATTTAAATAAAAATGGACATTTTGGCTTCTCAGCACACGAAAAATGATTTTCATAACTTTTGGAAATCGAACAATAATTTAAATTGTAAACCTGGCCTACCAGTGAGCGTTAATGGTATTAATGATCATGGTCTTATAGCGGATATGTTTTGAGAGAATTTTACTGTGACATCACGGTTGGAGCCATCACAGGCCATAGAAGATGAGGATACGTGTGGCCGGGAAATTGGAATCCCATTTACAGCGAAGGATGTCAATAAAGCTATAGCTTCTATGTCCCGTGGGAAGTCTCCTGGTCATGACGGAGTTAGTATTGAACACCTTAAGCATGCGGGTCCTCACTTAACTAAATTACTTTCTATGTTTTATAACTTATGTATATCGCATTCGTACTTGCCCGCGGCTCTGATGAGTACTGTGGTGGTGCCAATTGTAAAGAACAAGACTGGGGACATATCTGATAAGTCTCCAACTATAGGCCTATCTCACTTGCCACGGTTGTTGCAAAGGTTCTTGACAGTTTATTTAGCGCCCAGCTTGATAAACATATATGCCTACACGACAATCAGTTTGGCTTCAGGCCGGGTTTGTCAACAGAGTCGGCCATATTATGTTTGAAGCAAACTATGAAGTACTATTCAGTTAGACGAACGCCTATTTATGCATTTTTTCTGGACCTTACCAAGGCGTTCGACCTGGTAAATTACGATATCCTATGGCAGAAATTGAAAGATACTGGACTGCCGGAAGAAGTTACTAGGATTGATTAAAACTACTTTTACGGATTTTATCGTGTTTATTTTACTTTTAATTACTTTTATTTTTAATTCCCGACGTTTCGGGCGCTTTTCAGCAACCATGGTTACGGGGGACTGAGATGACTGACGTCCCGATGTCATTGTTAAACCCGGAGTACCTTCAGCTTTTTAATTATTTTGGTCCGATCTACGCAGAATGAACTGACTGTATTTTGAAGTCTTGCAGTGGTATGTTTGGGTTTAGTTTTAATTTTATTGATCATAGGATCCCAAGCAGGTGGTAGTACCCAGCCTCCTTCTCTATTGAAATTAGGATGTTTTTTAATTTCAATAGCCTCACGTATCATCCTTGGTAGGAATCGGTGTTCTTTCGCGAGGATTTGTGGTCTATCAAATCTGATGTAATGGTTGGGGCCGTCTAGGATATGATCGCAAACTGCAGACTTCCCGGTGTGTAGTGTTCGCGTAAATATAAGAAATCATTAAGTTACTAGGATCTTCAAATTTTGGTATCGAAACCAGGTCAATATTGTGCGATGGTCCGAAACCTATTCGTAACCATATAGGTTGGAGTGCGGATACGACAGGGGGGCTTAACTTCCCCTAAGCTCTTCAACCTTTATGTGAATGCACTGATATAATTGCTTAGCACCACACATGTCGTTGTCATATTGACGGAGTATTCCTCAACATCATCAGTTACGCAGACGACATGGTGTTGCTGAGTGCTTCTGTTTGCGGCTCGGCAAAACTGCTGAGCATATTTGAAAGCTACGCCTGCAGTCACGGATTGATTTATAATGTCAAGAAATGCGAATGCATGGTCTTTCAGGCTAAAGGGAAAACCTTGCCCTCATATGTACCACCCAATAAGCTATACGGTACCCCGTTAAGAAGGGTGTCTCAGTTTAAGTACCTGGGTCATATAGTATCCTTTGACCTGAAAGATGATGCTGACATAGAGAGAGAAAGCGCAGGGCATTGTCTGTTAGAGCGAACATGATCGCTCGCAGGTTCGCTCGTTGTTCAGTTCCTGTTAAAGTAACGCTCTTTGGAGCTTACTGCACTTCCTTTTACACGAGCAGTCTGTGGGTGGACTACACGCAGAAACAGTATAATGCCCTGCGTGTTCAATACAATAATGCATACAGGGTGCCGTTGGGTCTGGCTCGTCATTGTAGTGCGTCATACGTATATTCGCGGATGCGCGTGTGGATTGTTTCTACACCACCATGCGTAAACGATGCACATCCCTGATGCTCAGGGGGCGAGCCAGTTCCAATGGTATCCTAAGGGCATTTTCTGACAAGTTTGATTGTCAATACCTGAACCATTGTCATATGGTGCTCGTGCTGACTAATCGGGCCTGTCTTAGATATAGTTTTAGAATTAGGTAAATAGTTTTAAGTTTTACTAACATTAGTTTTAAGATTTGTATTATTACTAACATCTATGATCCTTGTGGTCGAAATAAACGACTTATTTTTATTTATTTATTTATTTTACATGTAACATGTGTCCCTTTTGCAATGGGCGATTTATTTATAGTGCATTTTGACTAGTGTCACTGTACTTCTTTTATTAAGAATTATAAAAATCAATGGCACTTGCTTCTTTTTTAATCATGATGAATGCTTTTGTAACAGAATGTGTTGGGGGCGGAGGTGCAAGAGAGTGGGGAGGCTGGGAGCTCGGTACTGGAGGGCCGCGTGTCCCTGTGGGTCCGCAACGAGTGTGCGTGCGCGCTGCGTGTGTCGCAGCACGACACCGACGAACTGCTGCCCATCGCTCCTGGGGCCACGCTCGCCTACAGGTGCATGTTCCATACCAACTACTTGACGGCTACGTGGCGCGTGGCGCAGTGGCTTAGCAATGAGTTGCAGCGCTAGGAGCCGCGGGTTCAAATCCCGCACGGAACAAGTATTTGTATGACTACAAATAATTGATACGGGTCTGGATGTTTGTTCTTGTGGAATTATGTTTGTAAACTGCCTACACGATACAGAAGAAAATCCTAGTGTGAGGGTAATGTTCAAAACAAAAAAGATACAAAAATTTAAAACACCAGTGTAAGCGCCACTTGCGCTATTTGCACACGAAACGCTTATTTACTTGTTTGCTGGTAGATGTAGCACGGGAGCGGCGACAATAATTTCATTGCCCTTTATTTCTAAGGATTTCAACTCTTACGTTTGGTTTTTTAACCTTTGCCTTATATAATTTTTCCGAAAGAGATAATTAATGACACTTTGTATTACTTAGGCAATGACTAATTAATAATTTCTGTTAATTTATCAGTGACTAATTAATAATTTCTGTTAATTTATCAATGACTAATTAATAATATCTGTTAATTTATTCAGGAAAAATTACTAACATTAGATTAGGCAAATTTAGTTACTAAAAAGTTTAATTTATACAGATGGCGCTCTCCATATGAAGTGAAAAAACTTCGTTTCGCTCTTGCCAATCCGTCTGTGGACTGGCGCTGGTCTTCTAGTAAGTATCAGTGTGTAACAGTTTAATTTGCTGTGCAATTCTTTCCTTGTATTGTTACAGTATGAATTCAGTTAATTTAAAAAAATCCATTAAATTGCACTATATCTTACACGTATAGTAAATATTAAGAAATTTTTTAAATTGCGTCAAAACACTATCCTATCTATCATATTAAGTTCCGCTGTGACGTCACTGATAAAGTAACCAAGGTAATGTGCTGTGTGTTATTTCGAAATTTTTTATGGTATCATACGATTGTTGACTTTTATTCCGTCACAGTAATAAGTTACTTAACTGAGGTACCTATTCTGACTATGATCGGCTGACCATATTTTCGCTACTATGTGAGTTCTGTGACGCGTGCAACTTGCAAGACCTTTTCGTCGCGATGTTTGGTTCGAAAGAAACAGGTAATAAGTGAAACCAACAAATAAAGCTGAAGTATGTTTTCTAACCGCAATGTGATTGATTATATTCTACTTAATTAAAAATCTTGTAAACAATGTTTTATATTATAACTTAAAGTATTTTAATTACAAAAGATAACTGGGGTATAAGGTGTGTAAAAAGTTCTGTAATTAGGTACATATGTATTTCTGTAGGTAAATTATTTCTTAATTCTTTTTTCTCTTCGGACCTAGTACCGAGTAGTAGTCCAAGTATAGATTTGTACACATTGTGTACAATTTCGTGGCTATCCATACTTATCCATGCAACAATTATTGTAGGAAGACGTTTTGCCATTATAATTAATTAAGTAAATGGGTATTACTTTTTTAAATTTCATTAAAATACACATTTTTTTTAAAACTATTTTATCCTACAATTCAATATATTTTAACTATTTTAACAAGTATTTATAAAAAATATTTACGTAAACAGTGTTAAAAAACTTAAAAATATACTTGCCTAGAACGTGCGGGGCTCCGACTGCGTATGTAATCTGAATATCCGTGTGATTGTAGGTAATTATTTCACGCCAGGAGTAAGAGTGACAGAGTTCTGGTACTGCCGTTTTGCTTTCTATTAATGTTTTGCATTTCCTTCGCTTTCATACCGATATTTTTTTTTATAGAATAAGGAAGACAAACGAGTACACATTCCACCTGATTGTAAGTGGATACTATAGCCTATAGTTATAGACATTTACATCTGTCCCTGATTAAGAATCAAAATGCAGATGTGTTGTCATACCTGAGAACTAAGATGGAATGCCTCGTTTCCAGTAAAATGGGTCTCCGGTCCTCTACACTCACAATGCAAAACGCAGCACTTTCTTTCTCTCTTGAGCTGAACCATTAGTGTTACAACCAAAATATGGCTGCAACTTGGCTTTGCCACATAAATATAGCTGCAATGTGGCATTGCCACGTAAGTGAAATTGTATCTTCACCTTAATTGTGTGCCGTAAAATCTTAAACATAATTCTAAAATTTTATGTAGGTGTGTGTAACTATCTTTACTCTAAATAAAATCAGGTACAAGGTTCTTCTTGTACAAATTATGTGACTAGGAAATGATGTACTGATTCAAGCTCGCAGAACTCAAATCCCATGAAAATCTTACCGACTTATGAAAATGCCATAATGCCATGGTTTTGGCAGGCATTCCGTTCACGGAGGGCACGTACCGAGTGCGGCTGGAGGAAACGAGCGCGGACACAGGGTGTGAGGCGGGCGCGGGGGCGGAGGTGCCGCTATACGTGCGCGTGCGCGAGCGCGGCGCCGCGCGCACCATGCACCTCTCCGGCCGCCTCGTGCTTGCCAACATGCTGCGCCACACGCTGCTCTACAAGGTGCTCACACATCCCACACGAAATACAAAATACAAATACAAACTGTTTTATTCAATACCAGCTGTACTCACCCGCGACTGTTTGCGTGGAAAAATGAAAATTCCGATTACGAAAATTCTTTTACCAATATAAACGACTTTTATAGGCAATTTTTGATACCTTGGCCTATAATAGTATAATATTCTTATCCGAGTTAAAAAAAATGTAGCCTATGTAACTCACTGGTAGTACAGCTTTCTAAACGTGTAAGAAATTTCACAATCGATTAAATAGTTTTAGAGTTTATCCATTATAAACAAAAACAAATCTTTTCCCTTTATAATATTAAAGTATTACAAACAAACAAAGAAAAATTTTCTTTTCATCATATTAGTGTAGGTAAACTAAAAATAATACTTATAGAAAGTTAATCTTATGTTTAATTTACCCTTAGTTCGGAAAATACCTTTGTCCTGAGGAGAACCAGCAAGTATCGCACCGGAACATTATTTTTGAAGAAAAAAACAATTTATAATAATTTAATATGTTAAATAATAATTAACAATATAAAACAAATTCAAAATAGCTTAGTAGCGATCACGTCATTTCTAAGGGTTATTAATATCCATAAATATCGTATAAGTTTCATGTATTTGCCACCTACCACAAAAGCCACAATGTGACAAAGTAGTAAATTAATTAGTGCTAAGCAGATTATATTCTTCCAAAACCGGCTTGATCAAAACTATATTATATATCTGGGTTCAACTACTTAATTGTAGCAGGTATGTCTCTCGTGGCATTTGGTTGACAGAGTGAGCGCTATATATATAGCGCTCGATACCTCATTTAATTTGACGCAAATACCTTTTTGTTTGTTATATACTAGACGATATAAGTAGACTTTTTAAACTTTCCATAAATGGCCTATTGCCGGACAAAGTCCGTTATTTCAAAACTGATGTACACAGACGATATCCAGCATTTTAAATGAGGGAGCCACGCTGCAACTATATTATGACTGCAGCGCGAATGAACTCGGCCGGGTTAGAACCATAACCTCACAAAATACAAGCGAGAAACAACAGGATAATACTGTATTTCATATGGTGAGTGTAGAAAACTGGAGACTTTTGCCGGTAACATGGCATTACATCTTAGACTTCAGGGGTCACAACGCATTTGCATTTTCATTTTTATTCCAGGATAAATGAAGTTGCTCTGAGTTGCAGCATACACCTCTCATCACGTGCAATATGAGTTCGCTTGTCTTTCTTATTCCTTTAAAAAATACTAGCCTGTTATGTGAGCAACGTACAACCTGTGTGGGGCAACATCGTATCAAATCGTTCAAAGTAAAGATTAAAAAATAATTTCTACTTGCGTAAGTTGTCACTTGTTGAAACTCTAGCTTCGTTTTTGAGTTTTGGATAAACACTTGCCCAATGACAAAAATAAGTATTTAAAGCTGCAACGAATGTCGTCGTGCGTGCAGGTGCGTGCTCGTTGCGAAACGACGCGGCAGTGGGGCACGGTGTGCGCGGGTGAGCTGCCGCCCGAGCATATTGGACCCGCTCTGCTCTGCGACGAGCAAGCGGACCTCGCACTCAAGTTAGCACACGCACATACTTTGTGCGCACAATATCAATACCTATAATTGTCTAATATCAAAAATTTACTCTATTGATATCTATTCTTATTCTGTACGCATAGTATACGCACAAACGCTCACACCACAGTCTAACCTACTGCTAACATCGGTCATCGACGGCGTTTAGATGGGGCAATCTTGATTTTCCATTTTCGCATGAATTTGATTAAACCTGAAATAAAATCCGTTTTTTTAACATTTTTACTACTCCCCATTCTTACCACCCTAGCAGCTTGTTTATGTCGACGTTTCCAACAACAAACGCGATGACAGACTGTTTCATCTTAGACTGTACTCACACTATGCGCGCACAATATGAAAGAATAGAAGTGTGCGTATCGAAAGTTGAGATTTGGAGAGTAAAATTGTTAATAAATTCAATCCATATCTTATTTTACTCGCATAGTATATGCACATGTTTTATATTGGCGCGCATGTTTATGCTTTAAAAGAATGTTACGGATTTGTTTCATTAGAATGGCTGCTACAAAATAACATTTTGAAAGTACAATTTGAAGGGTTTAGGAATTCAGTATTATTACAGACTGTGAGAACTTCCATTTTAATCCTCAGAAGTGACACTGCATCTGTTTCGTTTCAAATTGGTTTTGGATTGTAATTTCGTTGGATACTTCAGTTCTTTAAAAATTATTATTTTGTAATTGTAGTTTTTGCAGGAACTTGACCAGCGGTGAATTATTGCTCCTATATTATCAATTTGATTTTGAATTAACTCGCGAAAATAACCTGTCGTAACAAATTACTTGCATTATTATTATTATATTTTAAAAACATTACCTCCACACTAGGATTTTTTTCTGTATGGTGGGGGCGGTTTACAAACACAAATTTGCACAAGGACAAGCATCCAGACCTGGAACAATTACTTGTAGGTCATTCAAATACTTGTTCCGTACGGGATTCGAACCCGCGGCCCTTTAGCGCTGTAACTCATTGCTAAGCCACTACGCCACGGAGCCGTCAAATTTTGGCCATTGTTGGGCTATTGATCGTAGGATCGTAGCTCGAAGGTCCCGATTTCAAATCCCAGAATGGGCAATAAATCGATTATTGCGTTATTGTCAAGAAATTCTTAGTACCCGCCCAGAGTCAGGAAGTTGGTGGTGTTGCACACTCGTGCTTCGAAAAGAACGTAAAGTTTTACGAAGCACAGTTGGTTCTAAGTCAGATCTTTGCCGATTGTGTTGGATTACCGTCCTATTGGACTATGGGAGTGATGGAATAGAGAGTGTACTTCTGCTTGTGCACACACGTTGCGCAAATGATTAGTCTGCATTGAAACTGGTCACTATAACCGAAATTTGGTCTAGAGGACATTATTATTACCTTAATTAATGGTATTATCTTTACATTCTTTTAAAACTTAAATATCCATATTCTTTCGTAAATTTAATTTAAACTTTGTTAAGTTTGCAATTACGCTAATATTGCAGAGTGAAATTCGTGTCTAATGACACGGGCTGGTCAGGCGACATCCCCTTGAAGGAGTGTCCGAAAGAAAATGTTCCGTGGCTGGTAAAAGGTAATATTAAGCATTTAGTTTTGCATGCTCAAGATTTGATAAATTACTTACTGCTTAGAATAAAAAGAAAACGATGAAATGTAGATATTCATGTCATGTATTACTATTACTCTGCAATTTGACTGACGTGTAAGAATATCCACTAGTCCCCTCCCTATATTGTTCCTTGGGTATCGTAAAAGTTGCCAGAGGAAAACTTAAAGAGGTGATGGGCAGCAACACCTTCCTGATGGTTACTCAAAATTTTAAAAACGGTTATCAACTCGTCTGCGAAGCGTGGCAACTGTGGCAAATGTTTCCTGTGTGAGGTAATCTATGGAGAGGCCTATGTTCAGCTGTAGACCTTTGATGGACTCTAATGATGATGATGAAGATAATTTTTTATGAAAAATTAGTTCGCGGGTACGGGCTCAAGAGTTCGTGAGCACAATGATGAAAAAGCTGGCACGTCTCCAACCAGCCTTGGTCGATCGCTCGTCCTCGCTGCTCTCGCACGTCAACGCGGGACCTAATACTGTACAGCAGACAGTCCAGTGTTTGAATAAATTTTTGTGGGAAAAAATTCAATACCCGAGAGGTAGTACAAAATGCTTTTTAAGAATTTGTTGCCCCATTCAGCCAATTACTTCTAGAAGGGCATCAATAAACAGCAAATATCAAACTGTTCGTACGCATTAGAAACACTTACGTGATAAGTTTTTTTTTTCTTTAAATCAGTTACGTTTTTAAAAAGTGTGTGAAAAATATTTATGAGTTCGATTTCCGTTGGCACCAAAGAAATTGTTAATTGCAATTTCAAAAGCTGATTTATCATGTGCTTGGCTGTGATAGGCAATATTGAGGGAAGCCAGTATGTCTTAGGAGTAAAATGATTCCGGGACACGTGGAGTCTGCCAACTCCATTACGAACAGCGCGGCGGACTAATCGCTCCATAACCCTCGTGAGAGGATGCTTGTGTCTGGTAGTGGTCGTACACAGATTGTAACATATTCAATACAAATAATATAACTGACAAGGACAATGTTGATAAAGGTTAAATAATGAAGGCATCTACGATTTTTTGACATCAGAACGGCGCCACTTAGGAACATGGTGAATATATTTGACCAGTTCCATAGTGGGGGGAATTAATTTGTTGGAAAAGATTAATGTTTCTTTCTGAAATTTTAGTTATATTTCATATTAATTAGATTAAAGTTAAAAGTTAAAGCTATAGCCTATATAAACGTTCCACTGCTGGGCACGTAAGTTCACCTTAGTCCCAGCTAGCGACATCTGGTGAGCTTAAGATTAGTGAGATGATGGAGATTATTCATCATCATGCTAAGAATGTATTGCGATGCTGTGCTTTCCGGTACGATGCGGTGCGGTCCGGTACGTTGCGTTCCGGTGCAGTTCCGAGCAGCGGCGAGGTGTCGTACGTGTCGGTATGGTGCCGCGTGGTGCGCGCGCGCCGTGACGCGCGCCTGCTGGCCGCGCTGTGGCCTCTCTACGTGCTGCGCTCGCACCTGCCGCTCGATACAGACGTCAGTACACGCAACTGCCCTTCAAACACACCCAAGCCTATATTATTTTATACTTATAGCCAACTTCAAAAAAGGAAAGGAAGCTTTATGTTGTAATATTGACCCAATTAACCTTCGATAGCTCAACTATCTGGCTGCATATGAATACAAACCCTAACTAAGTTCCCTATACCTGGCAGTCCCTAGCAGTCCCTAATACCCTAGCCCTAACATTTAAATACATATATATCCATAAGTTAGATAGGTACGAGATGCCTGTACCATAAGACTTAAGGTAACAGACGGACAGGGACAGGATGTCGGGGTTAGGTGATGGGTGATGGGGTTGTCTCACTGCCAGTTAAACAGACTCACAAGACTGATCAGGGGCTCGGACCGATAAATGTGTCTCGACCGCAGTGTAAGGGAAGTCTTACCAGGAGTTTCGGCCGTAGTGACGAAGTGTCGTCCAGCGTTGAAAGAGCATTTTATTAAAAAATCATTACAAATTATGTGATTGCATTGGGTTAAAATTTACGTCATTTGTAAGAGTGTTCAATAAAACTTTTAGTGTACGTGATATTCGGTAACGCGGTTATAGTGTAGCTGCATTGCAATGTTTATAGCTGAATAGTTTGTATTTGACATTTTCAATTGAATCTACACGAATGATATTTTTTCTTTCACTCTGATAATTTGTACATGGTTCTAGTTCTAGTATATAAAAATCTTAAGTTATAATTTTTTTTAAGTCGAATTATCGGAAGTGTTTCGGAATTTTTTATAACAAGATAAAGTAGTTGGTAGTTTACCTAAAGGTGATTGAGTATCGCGGCCCACGGACTCTTGTAATCGAACTCAAACTAATATTTTTTGTTTGTTTTGTTCTAAGGTATAATAATGTCGATTTATTAAATAATACAATTCATACTAGTATTTTTTTTTTCATTTTTATGCAGTATTTACGCATGGAGCGTATCATACGCACGCAAAGAGTGTGGTTTGCAAGATGATGTTGTGACCAGGATTAAGAAAGGAATGCTTCGGTGGTTTGGTCTTGTGGAAGGAATGAACAAGGAAAGAGTGACAAAGATAATTTATGTTGCAGAAGTGAATGGCAGAGTCGGAAAGGGACGTCCTAGGCGAAAATTTATCGACCAAATTGGCCATTTATTGAAAACGGGCCAAATTAGGAGTAGCCTTAACCGACGAGCATGTATGCGTAGATATATGGATGTGAAGGAGGCGAGAGAGATGTGTCAGGATCGTGCCAAATGTAAGTCTGTGGTCTCTGCCTACCCCTCTGGGTGATAGGCGTGAGTGTTTATGTTTTTATTTACGCATCTTTTACAACACTACTCTTAGTGAACGGAGTTGATTCCAAAATTAGGACTATTTTTTCAGATATGGTGTTTATACGTTCATTGGCTTTTTAATAATCTCCTGTAATCATAGAATACTATAATACATACATAATAGAACGGGGGAGTGGGCGGAGCCCGTGTAGCCACTAACATGTCACTAACACGTCAATTTACACTTTTCCAACTTTCGTGTCAAGCGTCGCTGCATGCAAATTATTTAAAAAATGGCAAATTGTGCAATAATTACGTGTCGAATGAACAGCGGGAAATGGAATTTAAATAAAGGCGACATATTCTACAACCAGTAAGTCGAAACTATTTATATTTTGTGAATATTAGAAACAAAAATAAAGAAACATTTATGTGTCAAAAACATTAATTAAAAGTCTAAAATGTGTTTGTAGTAGTGATAACTGATAATACGACGCAATTGCTTGTATGTGTGCTTCCGGCGACGCCAATCCTCCTATAAAGTAAGGTTGACAGCCATTCTATTGTGTATTATAGTATTCTATGCCTGTAACAATAATAGCTTGATTTTTTATTGCGAGGCATCTTTACATAAGTACTTTTGGTGTGTCATGACTACGTGTTTGTGTTATTTAATAATTCCAGTTGTGTGTGTCTTATGCATAGTAATATTATATAACGTGGTTGACTACGGTGGCAGTTGGTGATAACGACGGAGGGCGGTGCGGGTGGTGGGGAGGAGAGGAGCGCGGCGCGCACCGTGCAACCGGCGGTGGGGCGCGGCGCTTGCACGCACATCGCCGCGCCCGGGACCACGGCCGCGCGACACGAGCTCACGTTCCAGTACAGGTGCGCATCCGGCTCGAAAGACCATTCACATAATGTTGCGTTAGTGACAATAAAAATTGCCGCAACAATATGTTCATTTCAGATACGAATATAACATTATTTTTTCATCTTCCTACATTCTATTTTTCTATTTTTAGTTAAAACGACTAATAATCATATAAATACCCTATTTGAGATGTGAATTGTAAAAAAGTGGTTTATCGATAAAAGACATATTTATCTTGTAGTATTTTTAAACTTACCACACCGTTTAGAAATAGGGATGCTAAAATGATTTAATATGGATATCATATTGTTCAAAAGTATCTATGTAAATAAAAACAAAATGAAAATTTCTCCATAACTCTTTCAAAAATAAGTAGCTTCTGCCTAGTTATGGGACTAATAAGGACTAACTTTACATGTTTAATGTATAAAATAAAAAATGTTAATGTAAACATTGTTGTCACTTCATTGATTGGCATTTTATTCGTTATTTAAAAGAATCCTTTTATAGTTCACTAGCGCCTAGATCTTAAGATCTAGGCGCCACCCTCTTACCTACTCCTGGCGCTAAATAGCAGACTCTTGTATTGGTGTGTTCCGATCTGAAAGATAGACAGTCAATATGTATAATTACAGACTGCGAAGCATTTCATCATAGTTCTCAGAGGTGACAACGACTCGTACTGCATTGCCTTTTTTGTTTAAAATTAGCTGTAAGTTTACATGGACTACAGTAGCCGTTTACCATCAGGTGAACTCTAAATTTGTTTGTCAATTTGTGAAATCCTTGACGCACTAGAGTGGAGGTTGAATAAGTGTTCAGTGGTCATCACAGAAACTGACTACCCTACACCTGTAGGTGTTGATGTGTATGTATATAAAACGCCACTAAAGAGTTACGCAACGTTGACTTCGACTCTACACCTCCGACCCACCGCGCTACTGAATACCTAAAGCGAGAGTAGAGTTGTGCAACGTTAACGAACTAATACATACGTACAGGAATATCGAGTGCTCGGTGACGCGCGAGGCGGTGCCGCTGCACTATGGCGTCACCGACGTCTCTGTCTTCGAAAGGTGCGCGCCCATGCAAGATATTGAACAAGTGTTGCAGGAGTGCCGGAACTGGTACGTAAAGAACCGTCCGAATGGGTGTCTCCCTCTTACATATTTATACATATAATGGTATATAGTTTAAGTAAAACGACGCGTAACCTGAGACCTGACATGCTTCATTGGCAACATACATCGTATACAGTAGAACCTCGATAAGACAAATACCAAGGGAAATGTTAAATAATTTGAGTTATTGAGGTTTTTACTTACTTAAGGGTTTAAGTGAAGGAATTTTATTGGTTTATATTTGTACTTACAGAGGTTCGTTTATGAGCTTTTTTAAAAAATTAATATATATATACTCACATAAATCGACGAGCTAGGTTAAATGCAAATGAAACTTTTAAATGTTAAATATATACATATGTCCCTTATTTTAGGTTTAAAGATGCATTTATTGAAGTTTATTTTATTCTACATAAAAAGTCGGCCATTTTTTTGTTTGAAACTATTCACACTTTCTATATCAATTTTATTTTCAATATTAAATAAAGAAGAGACAATGTCATCCTCTGTGTTTCTGCAATGCTCTATAAAAGATCGTAAAAATCTCTATAAAAGAGCTAATGATACAATTAAGTTATTGTCCTTAGAATTCAGTGTATTGTTTACATTTGAAGCCCTTTGATAAACCCGTGTAAGCAATAAGCAATGGTGTAGACCAAGGGAACCTTTATTGTTTGCACATTCATTTAAAACGACTCATTGATAGATGATCGAAGTTGCAAAGGTCGTCTTCGTTACAACTTTGAGTTACTGAGGTGTTGAGTTATAGAGGGTTTGTATTTTAAGTAAAAGAGGTATTGGACTCCGAGCGGAAAGGAACACAAAATTTTATGAATTTATAGAGGTTATTACGTTATCGAGGTTGAAGTTGAAGTTTCTAGTATTAATTATTATAACGAGGGAGAGAGAGTTTCACTTAGTCAAAGAAGGAATGTCTCTTTTTACTTTTACAATATTACACTAAATTTATTAGCGACTACCTACAATAAAGCCAATAGCAGTAATGCATGCATCAATGCGATCCGGTTTAAAAACAGAACGAATATAAATGCAACATCTTAGACCTAAGCGGTGATAAAACATATTATATGGTTTTGGTTACCTTTTTTTTCTAAAAACATTAAATAGTTTGGATGCTGAACAAATCAGTTGGATTTGAACTTAAGAGGGCATAATATGCTATTTACGTCGAAAACTTCATGTTTTAGGGTTTTTTCAAGGGTGATATCGTAACGAGCAAATTATTTGCAGAAAATTATGGATTTAGAAAGATAAAGTCCTTATTTAGTACATTGCGACGGAAAATCATAGTTTTTAATGACGGTATTTAGACCGAAGACAATCCCTTCATAGCGTTTTACGAAAAATGCGTCAGAGTTATCTTTCAGGTGTCTTGATTATAAACTAAAATACTTTATTTTAAACATTATTATAATAGAATATATTATAGTCTTTTAGTGTATAGCAAAGCTTAAACTACGAAAATATTTCGATTTAATATTAAAAAACATACTATCCAACTGTTCTTCATGTATTTTTTTCCGTATTGGGAACTTATCTATTTTAATTATTTTATCAAAATACAGGTAATGTTAAATATCCAAAAAAAATTTGATCGTTTTATTTAGTCAATTATTTTAAAAATACTATAAATCATCAGGCGCAAACGCCGTCCGATTCAGTACGCTCCGGGTCTTCCCAATTATAGGACGTATCACTTTTTCCCGCTACAGCCCGCGTACGTGTTAATTCACACCGATAGCATAAGCTAGTGTTGCCAAGTGTCCCGATTTGTGCGGGATTTGTCCCGATCAATGATGAATCGGGACGCCAAATGTCCCGAATTTTCACTAACTAGTCTATATTTCGATCGATCATTTGGACAGCAAAATTGAATATATCTTATAATTTATTAAAGCCCGACTTTGCATATTTTCCCACCAAACTTGGAGGCAACTTTGTTTGCGCGTAATGTGATGGCATGGCAAGATGCAGATATCAATAATGTTTACTTGTTTTTTTTTCTCACTGCCTGATGCATATCGCCGGTTTGCGCTATGCATCGTAATAATAATCAGTACAATATCTAACTTACAGCTTAGATAAGTACATTTAGTAAAATGCAAAAGGCTTGTGGAAAAGTTCTTCCACTAGTCAATTTCTTCAATCGTTTGTAGGTACTGTTGTTTTCAATAAATAAAGTAACATTATATGTCTGATGCAAGGATTTTATCTAGGCTATCAAGGTGTGAGGTATTAAAGCCGTTGGAACTATGCCGTTCTTTTTTTAGAGTGCTCTTTGAAGTGCATGAATTGTGAGTTCATAAGATTTTTTACTATTTTCACAGTTATATTATTCAGAAAGTTCAGTCTTCAACGATATTTAGACCAAAAATGATTCGTTAATTTGATCAGTTCTATATAATGATTATAAAACACATTGTGAATTGTGTCAAAAAACCTGTATAACTAATAGAGACCACAATGGTTAAAAAACTGTTTTTGTAGCTATTGTAATTGTCCCGATTTTAAAACCAAATTCCCGATTTTATATGGACACACTATCGGAAACGATGATAAGGCGCATAGCTACAGGATAAACAATAGTTCGCGCAACACAACGTAAGAAATGATACTTTGTTAAATAATATTATTTAAATTAATTATTAATAATTTTTCAAGTTTATTTAATAGTAAGCAATTTATAACTAAAATATTTATCCCTACAAAAGATATATTTGACGGCTCCGTGGCGGAGTGGCTTAGCAATAAGTTTAACTCTAAGGTCCGCGGGTTCGATTCCCGCACGGAACAAAAATTTGTAAACCTACAAATAATTGTTCCGGGTCTGGATGTTTGTCCTTGTGAAATTTTATGTTCTTATGTTAACTGCCCCACTATATACTTAGAAAACATTTTTAGTGTTGGAGGTAACGTTATAATAAAATAGAAACAAAACAGATATGAGCCATGGTAGCTCAAGGGCAAAGTGCTCGCCGTAAACGCGAGCAACCCGGGTTCGATCCCCGCCGACACAAATGAAATTTTTATTTAGATAAAATATCTTTACATTATGATACAGAATAAATGTATATCGAACGAAATCTGTTTTATATAATACACATTCTTCAATTCGAACATATATTACTTAACCCTTTCTAGTTCTTAACTAACTTGGCGTTGTGCGATTCCTTAGTCTACTTACTCAATACGTTAAAAATGAAAAGGCGACTTCAATTTACTACAAGAATAAAATAATTTATACATATTAGCTTCCCATGTCAGGACTAGATCATATATTAATTCTCATATACACTATGTCTTAGCACCGACCTCATAAGCTATTATGTGAAAATTATTTTATTTTTAGTTAATAGTAAAGATATTTAGATACAAAAATCTTTGGACATATTTAGGGATTAGTTTTCAGAAGATTTACTTGAAAAGTGAGATTTTTTTTAGGCTCGGACATCTGTGTCTACCACTGCGTTACAGCGTATAAGAATAGAGAAGTTACAAGATGAAGATGTGAAAGAGAAGTATAAATGTAGACTGAGAGAAAATATTAAGTGTTCGAATGAGTTTTGTATGAATGATTTAGACTTGAATACTGTGTGGGACAATATTAAGAAAGGTTTGGTGGATGCAGCCACCGAAGTATGTGGTGTAAGTAAGAGAACAAATGAAAGGAAAAGGAATACGTTGTGGTGGGATGATGAGGTACGGGTGGAAGTTGAATCAAAGAAGAAAGCATGGTTAGATTTACTAGCAACTAAAACTGGTAATTCTGGTGGTATGAATGATGAGATTGAAAGAAAAAAGGCAGAATTTAGACGTCTAAATAAGAGATTAAAAGAAGTAGTTGAAAGGAAAAAGAAAGAAAGAACGGATAAGAATGATAGAAGGATATCTGATAATTTCCAGGCTAATATAAAAATGTTATGGAATAAGAACTGCCAGGGGAAATACAAAACAGCTTATAATGAATGCTATAAGAGACGAGAATGGATGTATTCTGAATGATGAAGTTTCGAATTTAAACAGATGGAAGGAATACTTTGAAAGCGTGTATATGAGTGAAGAGTCGTCTGAATTAAATGAACAAGAAATTCCGAAAGAAGTGGAAAGGGGTATGGAGATAAGTGTAGATGAAATAATGAAAGCAATGAAAAGCATGAAAGCAGGTAAGGCAGCTGGATATGATAGAGTATCACTCGAGATGCTAAGGGCTGGATAGGGAGTGGTGGCAGGCCTGCTGTACACCTGGTTTAATTTATGTTGGGAATTAAAACGGGTACCGGATGACTGGTGTAAAGCAGTTATAGTACCAATATATAAAGGAAAATGGTCACATCAGGACTGCAAAAACTACCGTGGTATCAGCTTGCTTAGTATTGTGGGTAAACTGTATTCTAAGGTGTTAATTGAAAGAGTTATGAAAGAAACTGAGGTAAAAATTTGGGATGTGCAAGCAGGTTTTAGGAAGGGAATGGGGTGTACAGATCAAGTCTTTTCCATGCGCATGATTGCGGAGAAGTTTTTGGCTAAAAACCAGAAAGTTTTTTGTGCGTTCATGGACTTGGAAAAGGCTTATGAGGAACACTGAACTCATATGGGTTGAGCGCTGGTTTGATACAGGCATTGAGGTCTCTTTATAGGGATTCTAGTGCTTTTGTCAGGATCAATGGGGTCTACTCGGACTGGTTTGGCATCCGAAAGGGTGTCAGACAGGGCTGTGTGGCTCCCCTTGGCTGTGCAACCTATTTGTGGACAGGTGTTTGCAAACTTTGAAAGATGAAGAATGTGGGTTAAGAATGGGCGAGTTAACCGTCAAATGCCTTTTCGTATGCCGATGATCAAGTCATATTTGCGTCATCGGCGGCTGAGTTGCAAATGATGGTTACATTAATGAATTGGGCATTAAAAGAAAGGGGAATGAAAGTGAACGCAAGTAAGACGAAAGTGATGGTTTTTGAAAGAGAGGAAAGCAAAAGGGTATGTGAAATAAGAATAGAAGGAGAGTTAATTGAGCAAGTGGATGAGTTTGTGTATTTGGGATGTGTATTTAGCAGGGATGGTAGATATGATAAGAATATAGAACGACGAGTAAATGCAGGGAATAGAGTGAATGGGGCACTACACTCTATTGTGAAGAACCAGAACGTATCATTTTGATGATGATCTTTTTGAGGCACGTATGGTAATTCATAATGCTGTGTTAGTCCCTACTTTAATGTATGGTAGTGAAAGCTGGGTGTGGCAGAAGAAGCACGAAAGTAGAATAAATGCAGTAGAAATGCGGTCTTTATGGAGTATGCTAGGGTTGAATCTGAATGACAGGATGAGAAATTGCATGATAAGAGATAAATGTGGTATGCAAGATGATGTTGTGACCAGGATTAAGAAAGGAATGCTTCTTTGGTTTGGTCATGTAGAAAGAATGAATGAGGAAAGAGTGACAAAGCAAATTTATATGGCAGATGTGAACGGCAGAGTCGGGAAGGGACGCCCTAGAAAAAAGTTTATCGACCAAATTGGCGATATTTTGAAAATGGGCCAAGTTAAAAGTAGTACCCTTAACCGACGAGCATGTATGCGTAGATATATGGATGTAAAGGAGGCGAAAGAGGTATGTCAGGATCGTGTCAAATGGAAGTCCTTGGTCTCTGCCTACCCCTCTGGGTGAAAGGCGTGAGTGTTTATGCTATTATGCATGCTATGCTTAAATTCTAAATAAATGTGCTACACCGTTGTTTGGTTCATATTTTTACTAGATTATCGTAAATTAGACGCAATATATATTGTGAATATTTCTAAATTATATATATTAAGGTAGTTTTAACTGAAGATACCACAAAAATAACTCTTCTTGTGTTACCCCTTCTTTGACAGTTTAAACGATCACAAATAAATTGTATGCCTACTGGAGCTTTCTTTTGTCAACGATAACACGTATTGTAGTTAAATTTTTGAGTTATTTAAGTTGTTCTTCATGTATTGTGTTTTTTTTTGTTTATGGGCATATTAGCTTTGATGGAGGTTTAGTTACGACTAATAAAAGTAAATAAGGCCATTGATCAAAATATAAGCATTATTGACTCGAAACAAAAGTACTACCCGTGCGGTTAAAGAATGGGATTGAAAATGGCGTCGTCTCTATTCCCCTCTCACTCGCACACTGTCTTTATCTATACTCACACCCGCCGGTAAAGACTGCAAAAAAGTACGCTGCGATATGCGTTTTTCGTACGTTCCATAACAATAGTCCAACTTGTAATTAGAATCAATGATCACAAAATGCCATATACTACAAAAAAAAATCAGACGGGTTTTGCTAATTTGTTTTTGAGTGCATTCTGACAGTTTTCTTCATAATTATTGTTGATTTTGTTTGTTAATATTTTTATATAAAATATTTACATACCATTGAGACGTGAGTAACCATTTTAAAATGTTTTTGTCTGTCCGTACTAATCTTTGGAATGGCTGAACCGATTGTAATAAAGCTTCGAGGACAAGTAGAGGGATATAGAGGATAATACCAGGAATGATCCAGACTAAATTCTATCCGAAAATTTTGGAGTTTTTTTAAAAATAGAAATATTGATAAGATAAATGTAAATAAATGTGTATTGGTAGAGTTTTTCTGTGTGGGATAAATATAAACTGCACTTGCTTACACCATAAATGGTACCGTGTCTGGTAGGTTGAAGAGTTCGCGACGAGACGCGGAGTCTGAGTGGCCGTACTCGACGGTACGCCACCACTGGCAGGGAATCTGGCAGCCAGCACTACTGCAGCCGCGATGTGACGTCACGGTACGACACTCTCTATATATAGTTATTACATTATTACTAGAGTTTTATTCATTCCTATACATGTCCCGTTCTAACTAGTCTGAGTTGTCTGGAAGAGATTTCTATGTGGCAATAAGGTCGCCTTTGTTTTTCCTTTGTTTATTTTTGTTATATTAATCATTCTTTGCACTCTACTTGTAATCCTAGATGTACAATAAAAAGTACTGTACTCGCTGTTGGGTACAAGCCTCTTGTAATTTCTGGGTGCTTTCTTTTTGAGAGTAATTATTTCGTCGTGTTGCTCTAAAGCGTGTTGGCGGACCTTACATGTACTCCAATTTTTTTTCTTAAACATGTAAAAAGAAAACATTGTGAGGAAACGCTCGTGTTATTTTCCTTCACTATCGAGCGTTTGGCAAGTCAGCTCTTTAAAATTTCTATTTACAACTATATTTGAAATTGTTGTTGACAATTTACCTCTTGAGCATATAGTCAAGAATATTATTAAGCATGCATTTTTCTAAGTGCTCTTACAAAGATTATTCATTACCTATAATAGTAAAGTACATAAAGTTAGTTTTTATTAGATCGATTATGGGATAGTAATAATATTATTATCATCATCATTATCATTATTGCGGACTATCACAGGTTCATTTTTGAATAGAGGTCTCCTTTAGGAAGTTCCACAAAGTACGGGGTCTTGTGTCACCTGTATATATCGACTTTCTGCAACCTCAATACTAATGTTATATAAAGTAGTAAAGTAAAGTAAAGTTACAGCCTATATACGTCCCACTGTTTGGCACAAGCCTCCCTCATTTCTGAGAGGGTTTTAGGGCAAGGAAGTGTCCGCCGCGCTGCCCCAATGTGTGTTGGCGAACTTCACATGTCTGCAAAATATTTTTTTCTTTATTCCTCAGATATGCAGGTTTCCTCACGATGTTTTCCTTCACCGCCGAGCACGTGGTAAATCAGCACTTAAAATTGCAATTAACCATTTCATTGGTGCCGGCGGGGATCGAACCCAGGTTACTTGCGTTCTGTTATATTTACAGCGAGTGTTAACCTTCTGAGCTACCACGGCAAAGTAGCAACTGTGAAATGGTTTGATTGAACTGGTGGTATATTGGCCTGGTGCGGTTGTAGGTTGGTGTGGTAGTGTTTCTCTGATCAATAAAGAAATATAAACGCAGCGTTGTGCACATTTCAACTGATGCCGAAGACATGCTCAACTTTTTGACACGCATTCACGTAGTACGTAACATTACATACTGATTAAAATTACTTTTACGGATTTTATCGCGTTTAATTCCAAATGATTTTTAATTCCCGATATTTCGGGTGCTTTCCAGCACCCATGGTCATGGGGGACAGTCCCCGGGGGACGTCGGGAATTAAAAATAATTTTGAATCAAACGCGATAACAACCGTAAAAGTAGTTTAAATCAATACGTCTTCTTTCTTAATCATTTCTAAAAGTTCAATTTGTACGCACCCATATTGTACACATAAAACTACATTGTTGGTTGCAAGTGGTTTAAGATGGCTATGTATACGCGTAGTGTTGCTGTAATGTAACCATATATATAACAGTACACCATTACTGGTGTAAGAATATCCGCTACACTATATCGACTCGTGGGTGACGTAAAAGCCGAAAGAAGGAAACTGAAACAGGATATAGGCAGCATTTCCTGATAGCAACTTTAAATTATATAAAACTGTGGTTACCAACCTGCCTGCCAAGCGTGGTGACTGTTGCAAAGTTGCCATACGAAGAAATCTATCAGGGAGGCCTCTGTTCAGCAGCAGACTTTTATAAGCGATAATGGATGGATAGATGGATATATGTGTGTGTGCTGATTTAATTCCGACATTTTTCGTTACTGGCACGAGGTGTGGTGTGTGTGAGGTGTGCACAATGCTAGGCGTGCATGTTGGTAGCAAGTGATTGTAGCTGCATACGTGTACGTGTGTGCGTGTTGTTACAATAAGCTGAGCATGGACTCGGCATCGGTTGAAACGTGCTCCGCGCTCTGTGTTCGTTCGTTGGTCTGTGCGCACAGCGCGTGGTGTGGCGTGGCGTGTGTACAGTGGGCGGTGCGCGCAGGTGCGGTACGAGGCCGTGCGCGCCGGCGGCGGGTGCTCGCTGGCGGCGACCTTGCGGCCGGCGGCGCTGCTGGCGAGCGCCGCGCCCGCCGCGCTTACGCTGCGCGCGCATGACGCCGCGCCGCTCGCGCGCCTTGAGCCCGGACACGCAGTTGCGCCGCCTTCTGCTCTGCTCACAGTACGCAACACATAATACTTTCCAATCATTCCACTAATATGTAGTCCACTAGTATCCGCGCAGATAAACAATGTCATTCTAAATCACCATCATCATTACAGCCCTTCACAAGTCCACTGCTGAACATAGGCCTCCCCCAAGTAATGCCACAAAGCACGGTTCTGAGCCACCTGCATCCATCGACTTCCTGCATGTCTTACCAGGTCGTCACTCCATCTAGTGGGGGGTCGCCCTGCACTACGCCTACCGGTACGAGGCTGCCACTCGAGAACCTTTCTTCCCCATCGGTTATCGGTTCTTCGAGCTATATGGCCGGCCCATTGCCACTTCAGCTTACTAATCCGTTGGGCTATGTCGGTCACTCTGGTTTTACTGCGGATATCCTCATTTCTGAGTCTATCACGCAGAGAAACTCCGAGCATAGCCCTCTCCATAGCTCGCTGAGCGACTTTGAGCGTCCTCATACGGCCAGCAGTGAAGGACCACGTCTCAGATCCGTAAGTCGTCACTGGCAACACGCACTGGTTGTACACTTTAGTTTTCAGAGATTAAAGTATACCTGACGACAAGATGTGTCGTAATTTCCCGAACGCTGCCCAGCCGAGTTGAATCCGTCGATTGACCTCTCGGTCGAAGTTGGACTTACCTAGTCTCACTATTTGTCCCAGGTAAACGTACTCGTCAACAACTTCGAGCTTAGTGCTCCCAACAACTACCGGAATAGGTGTGACATGGACATTAAGCATGATCTTTGTTTTGTCCATGTTCATCTTAAGACCTATCCGTTGGGAGACACCATTGAGGTCATTGAGTATAGTGGAAGGTCCTCCAGCGATTCTGCCATAAGGACTATATCGTCGGCAAATCGAAGGTGATTATCGATCGTAATCGATGTACTCGCCATTGATGCTAATACCGTATCCTTTCCAGTCCAGTAGCTTGAAAACGTCTTCCAATGCAGCGGTGAAGAGTTTCGGGGATATGACATCACCCTGTCTTTACACCTTTCTGCAGTTTGATAGGTTTCGTACTCTGGTTCTGTACTTGGATAGACATCGTAGCCCTACTGTACAAACACTTCAGCACTTCGACATACCGACAGTCAACTTGGCACCGCTGAAGGGACTGTAGCACCGCCCAAATTTCGACGGAATCAAAGGCTTTCTCATAGTCCACATATGCCAGGCAAAGTGGCAGATTGTACTCTTCGGTCTTCTGTACAATCTGCCGCAGGGTATGTATGTGGTCTATGGTACTGAAGCCATTTCGGAAACCGGCTTGTTCGGGAGGCTGGAAGTCGTCGAGTCTGCGTGCGAGACGATTCGTAATGACTCTCGAAAACAGCATGTAGACGCGGGTCAGAAGGGAAATCGGTCTTTAGTTCACTTTCGATAAGAGAGCGTTGTCGCCTTTCTTAAAGAACAAGACCACCGCACTTCTGCTCCACGCCTCCGGAGTAGTGCCACCATGGAGGGCGGAATTGAAGAGCTTCTGAAGGACTTCAAGTACCGGTGTTCCACCCGCTTTCAGAAGCTCCGCTGTAATTCCATCCTCGCCTGGGGACTTGCCGTTTTTAAGGTGCTGGAGAGCCATTCTAATCTCGCTCAGACTGACTTCCGGGATATCGTCGGAATAGCGTCGGATAAGACTTGCTCTTGGATCGTTACTCACACTTGCGTGTGGCTCCAACGATGATGTGTACAGCTGCCCATAGAACCTCTCAGTCTCACTCAGAATCTCAGGTGTCCCGGAAACGATGCTGCCACACTCAGTCTTCAGCTTTGACAGTTGGCTCTTACTGGCAGACAGATCTCTGGCAAAGACTTTGGAGCCCTGGTTCCGCTCGATCGCTTCTTTAATACGAGCAGTATTAAAGTTGTGTAAGTCTCGCCGCATGCATTTGGAGATCTGTCTGTTCAGTTGCCTGTATGCTGTCAAATCTGTTGACGATTGCAGCCTCATCTCCCGTCTAACAGCCATGAGATTAAGAGTGTGATCGGAGAGTTTTTTTGTTCTTCTGCGGCGGGTCTTGCAGAATTTGGCTCCGACCGCATGGACAGTTTCCACGAGCTTGTCATTCATATCGTCCACTGCATTGCAATCTTCTAGGCACTGAAAGCGGTTGCGTAACTCGAGCTGAAAAGTCTCGGGATTCTGGAATAGAGCACAAGGGGGACGTAGCGTTGACTTCATTAGACGAGACCTCTCCAACTTAACGTTTAGGTTCAGTGTGCCTCTAACCATTCGGTGATCGCTGCCAGTTTTCACCCTTGCGATCACTGAGACATCACTGAACAGTTGGCGTCTGGTCGTCATAATTAAATCATTATCTAATTTTTTGTCGAACCGTCGGGGCTCGTCCAGGTCCACTTTCTGTGGGGCCGCTTCTGGAAGAAAGAGTTTATCATAAAGAGTCCCTCTTTCTCCATAAAGTCGGCCAGCTGCTGGCCCCTTCGGTTACGTTGCCCTACTTAAATTTCCCTAACTTCAGCTCACCGTTTTCTCTTGTGCCTAGTTTTGCGTTGAATTCTCCCATCAACACCGTGTAGTGGGTTTTGGGAGTAATGCATGGCTCTGGAAATATCCTCATACATTTCATCCACATCGTCATCGGGATGTGCCGAGGTTGGTGCGTAAACCTGTATGACCTTCAGCGAATACCGTTTGGTGATTCTGAGTATCAGGTACGCGACCCTCGTCGACACACTCCCAATTTTTACAACGTTCTTGACGATAGACTTGTGGACGATAAATCCGACACCTCCTTGGGACAGATGGTCGCCCTCCCGGTGATATAACAAGTTGCCGGACTCGAGGATTACCGTGTCCTCCCCCTCTCTTTGAACCTCGGATGATCCAATAATATTCCGGCGTAACTTGTCTACCTCTTCCTCCAGCTCCAGTATGTTCTAGTCAGTCCTCAGGGTGCGTGCGTTATATGTTGCCAGGTCGAGTCGTCGTAGGTGGCAATCGTCCCGCCCGCCGGCCGCCGGGGACTGGGGGCCGTTTGTTTGCGTCGTTATTCATGGGGGGATATTTGCCATAGTTGCCACGCTTGGTTAGCGGGTTGGCAACCGCAGTTTTTTATTATAACACTGTTGTTATCAGGAAGGTGCTGCTGCCCATCTCCTGCCTGACTCCCTCTGTCGCCTCTTACGACACTCACGGGAAGATATGGGGTAGTGGATATTGTTAACCGCCACTACACGGCGATTTCTAAATAGCCTCATCTAATTACCTCCAATCAAATTATTTTACCAAGAATCAATTATTAAATTACCAAGAATAAATATTATCTTTAATAAATTTGCATTGCTATTTATTTTATTAATATTCAAATAATAATATCAATAAATAATTCAATTATTTTCATATAACTTTAAGATAACTAAAATCTTCCAAATACTAGTAAACAATATATTATTACAACGTTTTTATCGCATAGCAATGTTTATTAATAATATAACGATATAACGTTACCAACTACTGCTTTTGCTTTACGTACACTGTGTATGCTGACATTTGAAATCACATTATTTATTCATACGAATACTGCGTACAGTTTACCTGTACGCCGGTATGAGACGCTCTACTAACGGTACACACGTGCTTCCAATCATTGAACTAATGTGTACTACGTATTAAAATATACACCGCGTAATATACCTGTACGACAGTGCGAGGTACGTGGTCGAAGCCACATAATACACGTGGGTCGCATCTCCTTCCGCGCTGCTCACGATTTGCACTTGCTTCCAATTGAACGATTATAGCCTCAAATTTATATATTAAAACAAACTATTAGAAATTAGTTTTAAATTATAATGTATTAATCTTTAGAGAGTATTACATTAACACACAAAACAATGTCCCAGCGGTCTGCTTTTTAATTTTTTGTACGTTTTTAACTTCTTTTTTAATTTTTCTGTTTCTAGGAATACCCGTAGTTTGATTTATTCATTTCTAATGTAATAAATTTAAGTAAAATATATATAAAAATTATTTGTCGCATAGTTTTTAGTAGTAGTAACGAACTCCTGAGTTCGTTGCGGAAAAAACTACTGTGTGCAATTTGGTCCGACATGAGAGATTGTTTTTATCCAAGACCAAAGAGGCAGTCCAGTAAATAATAACTCATATTAAAGAAATAAACAATTATCCTTATATTTTTAAATTAACTTCCTCACTATGAAATCTGTCAAATATTTCACCTTATTCCAAAATGGCCCTGATGCCAAAAAAATGTGTTCGGGAATGTGGCACACCTCATTCCTGCGTACACTCTCCAGATTTATCCTGTGTAAACCTTATTCATAGTTTTTCAATATTTTTGGATCAGAATAAAATGAATGAGATAAATGGTATATTATGATCCACTAGTCAGTCTGTCATGTAATTATATTTTATTTTAAACATTACATTTAGACTAACGACTAGGAAGGACTAAAAAGAGCCGTGGTAGCTCAGATGGTTAGCGCTCGCTGTAAATTTTACGCGAGCAAACCGGGTTCGATCCCCGCCGGCACCAATGAAATTGTTAATTGCAATTTTAAGTGCTGATTTACCACGTGCTCGGTGGTGAAGGAAAACATCGTGAGGAAACCTGTATGTCTGAGAAATAAGAAAAAAATTCGAAGACATTTTAAGTTCGCCAACACGCATTGGGGTGGGGCAGCGTGGCGGACGATTCCTTGCCCTAAAACCCTCTCAGAAATGAGAGGAGGCCTGTGCCCAGCAATGGGATGTATATAGGCTGTAACTTTATTTTACTTTTTAACGACTAGGGCTGGTTTCGCCTGGGTGGGGTCAATGAATGTGGCGTTGTTGAGACCAAAGATCGTGAAAGTCATCATTACGCGAACATATAGTAACACACGAATTTGCTCGTACAGAAGCCGTTCTTCCTGTCGCTGGAGGTGGGGCGCGAGACGTTCGTGAGCGAGCCGCTGCAGGTTATGTCCGGGGAGCCGGGCCGCTACGCCGCGCCGCCGCCGGGCTGTCTGCCGCTCGACCGCCCCGCCCACATCGTTATACCCTGCAACCGAAAGGTCCCCACTAACAACACTCTACGCAATATATTGTTTTATCTACCAAACATTTCATTTTTAGTAAAGTACATGAAATGAGAACATTTCTCTTAAATCTTTCTTACGTGGTAGAGCCATGCAGCAGCTATATTGTGATTGCGCCACGAATGAGTTGGCTCGACCAGGGAAAACCACGCTCTCACAAAAATACCAGCTAAATGCTGCTGTGTATCGTATGGTAAGTGTAGAGAACCGAAAACCCTTTTTACTGGAAACGAGGTATTCCATCTCAGTATTCTGGGGTGACAACGCATCTGCATTTTGATTTTCAGAATTCTTATGAAGATAAATATAGATGTTTATGGGTCATAGCATCCTCTTACCATCAGGTGAACTGTGTGCTTGTTTATCACGTTTATTCTAAATATCAACATGGCAATAAATAGGAATCTAATATTCACAACTTTAATAAATAACGTAAAAATGACGAAATTTTGTCTCCGTAAATGTCTTGACACTCCGTGGCTTGTTGCATTAATTTAATCCCAAGGACAACAAGCAACGGAAAACGATTCTTATTCCTAAACAGTTAACTAAAACAAAATAACCAAACATTAATAAAAAAATAACATGTTTTAACTATTTCATACAAAAGCAAATAATTTCGAAGATAATATAAAATTCTAATCGAAATACCGAAAATCAATGTTTTTAATTTAATTCGCAAGATTCAACAACATCATATATTTTATTATATACAAATTTTACAGAAATATTTTACATGTTTATACATATATATATATATATATATATATATATATATATATATATATATATATATATATATATATATATTTTACCAATGAAAATACATCATACCTATTGCCAGTAGGTAGCAGTAGCATAGTAACGCTAGTTTAATTTCTACTAAAATTGAATTGAATTAAAAATTGTATTATTGCTTATGCTTAAATTTATATTAAGGATATTTAATTATAATACACTTAATTTATTAAACTAATTGAAATTGTTATAAACAAAAACGAAAAACGAAAGTTTTCTTTAACAAATATATACTAGGTGTATGATAATGTTGTACACTTGGTAGCAATTATACAAAATTTATTTTGGTGTCATTTTGTGTAAGTCAGTATCAGCATTTGGTTTGGAAAATTTTCATAGGTAGTTTCCACCTAACGGAAAATTTTCATAGGTGGAAACTAAAAAAAAACTTGAATGAAAAACAGGGTTTTTAATTTAAAATAATACTTAAATTTTTATTACTTTTTTTAAATTTAATTTAATAATACACTAAAATTACGTCATATAGAATTTAGTCGAGTTTGCAGCGAATACACATTAACACATTGACAATTAACGCTAAACCAATGAATTGAATACCAGCGTAAAGTAGCAGCTTAATGCTGCTGTGTTTAGTATGGTGAGTGTAGAGAACCGGAGACCCCTTTTTACTGGAAACGTGGCATTCCATCTTAGTCCTTACGGGTGACAACGCATTTTGATTCGTAATCGAGGATAGATGTAGACGTCTATGGGCCACAGCAACCACTTACTATTAGGTGGACTGTGTGCTAATTAGTCACCCTATCCTATAAAAAAAAACGTTACCGATGCCAATAAGTAAAATAAGCTTCATGAATATCCGGAGTGAGGCGAGGTATTTTATTGTCTTGATCGGGCTATCAGTAAAATATTTACTTACAATTTCACAACCCACTCTGTGGATGCAGGTTGCCTTGCTGACTATGTATTATGAAATCAAAGAAGAGATAAACGTGCTGGGCATCACTTCAACGTACGTGCTCTTCAATAAGCTGGATTTGGATCTACTGGTAAGCTTATTATATTGCTATTGTCTCCTTTGAGAGAAAAAATTATAGAAATAAATATACTAACCAATATGAATCGTAATGATAAGATATCTAGAATAATGATACCGAATATTCTTATGCCGACTGTACATGCCATTTGGTATCAGATAGTCGTCCACTTTTGTATTGTATTTCTTATGAAATACACGATATTGCTTTCAGGTGTCAGCTATCGCCGTCCCGGAGGAGTGCGAGGAAGAAGTTGTACTCAAACCGAAGTCGTTTATAGTTGTCCCGCCAGATAAGCAAGGAAGGTATGAGTATCATGTCATTATCTGATGATATAATTCCTAATGGGGAATAATTTTTCTAACAAAACTAATTTCTTATATTCATCATTATCATTACAGCCCATCACAAGTCCAACGTTGAATATAGGCCTCTCTCAATGACCATCGACTTCCTGCATCTCTTACCAGGTCGCTACTCCATATAATATAGGAGCACTCTACATTTCGCTTATTTCGAGGCTGCTATTCGAGAACCTTCCTTCTTCATTGTTTGTTGATTCTTCGCATTGTACGGCTGCCCTTTTGCCAATCCAACTTAGTTATCCATTGGATTATGTCGATTATTCTAGTTCTACTGTAGATATTTTCATTGCGAAGTGTTTTATGTAAAGAAACTGAGCATAGATGTCTCCATAGCAATAAGTTATTTTAGTTTAAAGGAATCACATCATATTATAATATAATGTTTATTATTTTAAATTTTATTTACGTTTGAATGCTCAACGCCACTCTTCACCCGACGTTCTTTATGCGTACGAATAGCAAAATTGCTGTTTTTCTTTTTTTCGGTAACATTTATTGACTCCATCTATTGAGTGTATGTGTGTGTCTGTGTGTGTGTGTGTGTGTGTGTGTGTGTGTGTGTGTGTGTGTGTGTGTGTGTGCGTGTGTGTGTGTGTGTGTGTGTGTGTGTGTGTGTGTGTGTGTGTGTGTGTGTGTGTGTGCGTGTGTGTGTATACGTGTGTGTGTGTGCGTGCGTGCGCATTTTGAGAGGTCAAAACGTGTGTTAGTGATATAATAATAAAATGTGTGTGTGTCGCAACTTCAACCTATCTTCAAATTAATAAACAATGCCATCTTTTTTTTATAGAAGGGGAGGCAAACGAGCATGCGGCTCACCTGATGTTAAGTGAATACCGCCGCCCATGATCAACCGTAACACCAGGGGAATTGCAGGTGCGTTGCCGGCCCTTTAGAAAGGAGTAAGCTCTTTTCTTGAAGGTCCCCAGGTCGTATCGGTCCGGAAAAATCGCCGGTGGTAAACTATTCCACAGAGAGGTTGTACGCGGAAGAAAACTCCTTTTGAAACGTACTGTGGTGCACCGCCAAGTATCCAGATGGTGTGGATGGTATCGGGACGTTTGCCGCGTAGTGCGTTCACGAAATTTGGCGGCTGGGATTAATCCGAACAATTCTCAGAGCACTCTCCATGGTATATGCGAAAGAAAATGCAAAGAGATGCAACATCTCTTCGCAGCGCCAGTGAATCGAGCCGATCGGAAAGCACTCGGTCGTCGACGATTCGAGCCGCTCTGCTGCTCTTTTCTGATCTGCCAAAACCTTTGAGACAACTTTTTTTAATTTAGTCTTGGACAAACAAAAAGGGTCAATGTCAGAGAAGTATTTATTATATGTCCTTAGTACTACATTTGTTACAGAATTCTTTGCATAGTTTGTGTAGGTTCGTGGTACATAAAATAATTCCGTAACTCTAGTGCGTTTCTTGGGGGTACGAAAACTCACAATGTGTTGAGTTCATTTTGGACAGTCTAGGGTGCCAGTACAAACTTCGTATAGCAGCATCATGTCAGTTACACATTTACGATCTTGTAATGTTAATAAGTTGTGATGCGGACAAGAACTATGGTATTCTTCGCTCATGCGTCTTCCCCGGTAATTGAAGTACCGTAGGAATCTATTCTGTATACCTTCTATGGCTGCGACATATTTTTTGTATTGAGAATTCAAACTAGTAAAGCAATATTCCAACACATTGCGGACATATGAGAAATAAAGTGCTATATTGCAACTTAAATCATTGAAAGGTTTGGTTACACGTATGATGAATCCAAGATTTTTGTTGACTTTCATGGTTATTAATGTAATGTGTTCTGAAAAGGTTAGTTTGCTATCTAAAGTTACTCACAAGTCTAACGCTGTTTGCTTTTATTATGAGATAACTGTCAATGTGGTAAGAATACTGTATAGGTTTTATTCTACGGTTAAACGTGATTGATAAACATTTTTGAATATCAGCTGTTATGCGGTTATTTTTATTGTATAGAGCAAGTCTATTTAAGTCGTCTTGGTGGAGCTGATAGTACTTTTCTGAGTTTATATTCATATATATATATATATTTTCTTGGCGTCTGCATATAGAAGAAAATTAGCGTGTTGAAAACATGTTCCTATATCATACAGGTAGGCTATATACAGGAGAGGACTAAGCAGAGATCCCTGTGGAACACCCGAAGTGACGTTTATGTAATCAGATCTGAAAACACCTATAAGCTTGACTGCGGTTAAAAATGTAAGCTTGGAACCATCTTAACAAAGCACCACAAATCCCAAGCGCTTGTAGTTTTTGGTGCAGAATGACATAATCCACACGGTTGAATGCTTTTTCGAAATCCGTATAGATCACATCAACCTGCAAACCTCCGTCCATCCCAAGTAAGACGTCGTTCATAAATAGGGATAGATTGGTAGTTGTCGAGCGACCTTTAACGAAGCTGTGTTGTTCGGGTGGAATGGAAGGCATTAATACTAGATATACGTTATTAATAGACCAATCTCAATATTAAAGGTATTTAATATTGAGATTGGTCTATAGTTTTTAATTTTGTTTTATGTCAGTTTTATTTATTTGTTTTTTAACTTCATATACACATTAGATTTATATAGGCGGACTTTATGCCTGAGGCATTATCTACCAGTCTACCTTAGGGTGGTGCAGAGATAAAAGAGGTAGGTGTAATAAGAAGTATGTACAATATATATATATATATATATATATATATATATATACTCATTATATATACATACATACCCACGCACACATGTATATTATATATATATATATATATATATATATAATATAATATTAAATACGGCTAACTACTTTTTATTGACGAGCAGTTCTCGCACTTTAGATTTGAACGAAATCCGGTTTTCGGCACTCCTGATTTCGGAAGGAAGAGCGTTTCAAAGAAGAACAGATTGAACGATGATTGTACAAAATTAGTACTAAAAGAGGGGCACTGAAGCAAAAGGTTATTACTAGAACGGAGAACTCTATCATGGCTGGAGCTAATATATTGAAAATGAGGAGTTAAATAAGATGGAGGATTAGGAGACATCAAGATAGAGTAAAGAGTAGTGAGTGCACGTAGACTACGGCGCTGACGAATGGGTTACCAGTTAAGTTGAGAGCGATAAGTAGACACATGATCATACTTTCGAAGATTAAAAATGAATCGAATGCAGTTATTAAGAAGACGGTCATATTTGTTGAAGAGTTCTGCATTCAGGTCAAAATAACACACATCACCATAGTCAAAAATGGGAAAAATTAAGGTCTGCACAATAATCGTCTTGGTCCTGGACGGGAGAAAGTTCTTCAGGCGGTAGAGAGAACGCAAAATACCTGTCACTTTCTGACAAACATTTGCCACTTGAGTTTGCCAGCTCAAGATGGAGTCAATGTGCAATCGAAGGTTTTTCACGGTATTACTCAGTTCTAAAATAAAACCGTTAAAAATAATCGGCGGTGAAGCTGTGGGATCCAGTTTCTTTATCATCCGTTGGTTACCTAATATTATAGCTTGACATTTGGATGGGTTAACTTTAAGACCAAACTTGTCAGACCAGTTCTTTATATACTCTAGGTCCCTATTAAGAGATTCAATTGCTGTAGATATACAGTCGACCTTCGCGTGTGAGTACAACTGCAAGTCATCAGCATAAAAATGATACGCACACTGAAGATTTGGGGTAATGAGATTTATAAATATTGAAAATAACAACGGAGATGGAATACCGCCTTGAGGAACACCAGCATGCAAGTCACACCAACTTGATGAGGACTCGTCAATGCGAACTGACTGCTGGCGGCCTCGAATATAAGATGAGAACCACTCCAAAGCCTCAGATGAGATCATAGAAAGTGAAAAGATTGATAATGGGATGAATGATGGCATTAAAGGCGTTAGAGAAGTCAACCAAAACCAGTACTGTGACTTTAGTTTCCTCCATGCCTGCCTTAATGTCACCAGAGACTTTGAGGAGCGCGGAAACAGTGCTATGACCTGGCCTGAAACCAGACTGTAATGAGCTTAACAGGTTATTCGAGAAGATAAAATGAGATAGCTGTTTGTGTACAAAAGCCTCTAGCACCTTTGATAAAAAGGGAAGAGTGGATATAGGTCGGAAGTGATTAGGTAAAGAAGGATTAGAAATTTTTGGCAGAGGTATAATGTAAGCTTTACGCCACAGCGACGGAAAAACTCCAGAATCCAAAGAGAAGTTAATTATATGGGAAATAGCAGGGAGGAGATGGTCTATAATATTAATAATCATACGGTGACTGATATTGTCACAACCAAGAGCATTAGACTTAATGGAGAGTATAACCTTCCTGATCTCATTCGTAGCTATTGGAGAGAAGCGGAAAGGAGCGATATTAGGACGAGGTAAGCCCATTAACTGATCAACAGTTTGACACTTGGTTTGGTGATCCAGAGGTGTATGTGAAGGAAAGTGTTGATTGATATCATCCAAACCAATTGTCCTCTGAAACTCAGAATGAGACTTCTTACCAATACCCATGGTTCCAAGGAACTTCCAGATATCTGCGGGGGAAGAGGATATGATGTTGTTAAGAATATCGGCGTTTCGCGTTGCGTATCTTTTTTTTTTTTTTTTTTTTTGTGTTTGGGAATTTGTTCTTTGTCATCTGGTTACACTAATTTCATGCAGTTTAAAAAATGGACCAATTTTCCTCACACCGCTTTTTTCTATATTTCTGAAAGGCTCGGTCTCTACGCCTCATCACAACGCGGATCTCTGTTGACATCTAAGGTGCTGGCAGCCGCTTTAGCTTTACTATTTTAAAAGGAGCATGCATATTATATAGATTAATTAATATGTTATTAAATGCGCTAACTTTTTCGTCTACCGTGGGAGCGGCTGTTACTGTGTCCCAGTTAATTTTAGAAGCATCCTGACACAACTTCTCTACATCC